CTTTGCGGTGGTGCGTTGTGGCCGGGGGCGGCGTTGACGGGTGACGCTGCTGGGGCTGTGGAGGAGGCGGCGCGGGCGAAGGGGTTTCGACTTTGTTGTGCTTGCGCTGCTCCTCCCTGTGCTGCTGCTCCGCGACCGCCACCATTATTGTCCCAAAGACTGCTTAACTGTTGTTGACCGCCGTAGCCATTATACCGTTGCTGTTGGCCATATTGGCCTTGGGCTTGTTGCTGTTGCTGTTGCTGTTGCTGCTGGGGGGGAGGAGCCTTGGGGTCGGGAGGAAGCCAGGATGGGAAGTGTTGGCCCTTTTCGACGTAGTAGGCGCGCAGGACGCGGCAGACGTGGGTGTCATCTTCGGTGTCGCCGTCGGCTTCACCGGAGAAGTAGGTGCGTTGGAGCTTGGTAATGTTGTTGGAGAGGTTGGAGTACCAGGAGGACATCTTGGTTGTTCGTTGTGGTCTTTGTGGATTTGTTGGGGTGGGTTTGTTGTGTGACGGATGGGCTCGTGGGTGTAGCCAAAGTGTAAGGTTACGTTCGGTGTAATTAGGTAGGTTTTTGGTCTTGTGTGCTTTTTGCTGTGTGTGTGATGCTCGGAAGAAAAAGTGAGGTTTCGTTGAGTTCTGTCGGTGACGAGGTGCTACGGCCAGCAAGCACCCCTAGATCGGATCGCGAGATCGGGCGGTGGGAAGCTCCCTTAAGTGATTATCGCGGGTAAGGGTTATGGTATTATTAGGCGCAGTATTGCCCTTGGATATGGCTGCTCGTATTGTTTGGTTGGGAATTGGAGATTTGTTGGTGTCCCGCGATACAAAGAAACAAAGGTTCCAGAAGTTCCTTGTGTTTGTGACCTTGGAATGTGAAAAGGTGAAAGATGAATGGATCGCCAGGAGAGATGGGAAAGGCGGCGTGGAGTTCCAAGGGGGGTTTCATCAATGCGCGCCCGGTACCTCCTGTCCTGAAGAGCCACTGCCCCACCTATAGGTACGTACCAACCTTAACTTTACAGCGTGGGGAGTCCGTGGCCCGCCTATAAAATGGCCAGAACAGCAGCAGCCAGCCGGGTGATGCATGCACTTTCGCTCCCCGCGTATCACAATCGCGAAGCATATGACCCGGAAATCATGGCAGGTAGTTCTCCTGATTGAACAGATAGTTAAAACATAAAAGGGCTCCTGTTCTATGAGCCATGCAATCATTACATAGCAGAAAGTCAAGACCGGTGACCAATCTGCCAGATGCCAAGGTATCATCATTTAGTACAACATCAACAACAAATCCTCCTCCACGTTCGTCTTTTAGAAAGCAAGCAACTTCTCCCTGTCCGTCTCGTGTTCCACCTCGATCTCCTTCTTTTTCCGCGCCTTCATCTTGGTGACCTTTCCTCTCTTCCTCTTGTCGCCAGCCTTAGTCTTCTTCTTGGTATCCTCCTCGCTGTCACCCTCATCGTCATCGTCATCATCCTCATCATCGTCGTCCTCCGCATCGTCTTCATCGTCGCTGCCGAGCCAGTCCTCGATATCGTTGAGCTCGTCGTCGGTCTCCTCGAAGTCGGACACGTACTCGACATTGCCGTCCTCGATCTCCTCCTCGAGCTCTTCCTCCTCCTCTTCCTCCTCGTCCTCGTCCTCGACACCCTCATCCATGTCCTTGTCGCGGGTACCCTCGCCCTCCTTCTCGAGACCGTGCAGCACCTTCTTCCAGACAGACTCGGAACAGTTGAGGGGCTGGTCGCCGTACATTCCTTGCCTGAGACGCTCCAGCAGCTCTCTCTCGATCGTCCTCTCCAGCTTGGCGGCAATGAGGGCCTTGCGCTCTCTGGCCTCTTCGCGGTGCTTGACCTTGGGCGCCATCTTGGGCACCAGCTTCTCGCCGAGACGGTCCTCCTCGGCGGCGAGTTTGCGCATGCGGGTGGCGACTTGTACGAGACGGGTGAGGCGCTGCTTGCACTTGTGGAGGAGGAATTTGGGGAAGTATTGGAGGCGGTCCTCTATTTGCTGGAGGGCTTCGGCGTAGTTTTGGGACAACTTGATCTTCTCCCACCATTTGGAGGGCATGTGGGCTCTCTCAATCTGTAGTAAGAAGGGATGTGTTAGCTAGTCGGTCCCGGGGATACGGTAGGTTCGCCACCATTCGAGAATGGGTGTATACGCACGGTCTTGATGTAAAGGTATATTGTGCCCTTGGGCGAGGTTCTAACGGTCGCATAACGGGAGTTGGCTAGGGGGCAGCTCTGCCTGTTGCAGAAGCCGCTGACGTTGTACTCATTTCTGCAGAAGTTGTTGCCCTTGGTCGTCTTGAGCTTGAAAGCACAGAACTGCTCTGCAAGGTTGAATGTTAGCGAAACTGCGGGGGAGGTCTTCAACTTTCCAAGGAGATTGTAACATACGGTTGATGATCTGCCAGACGATTTCGTCAGACATGTTGACTGTGGTTGATCTGGTCGCCTTCTAATTGTCGGGGTATCTTCGAATTGACGTTGTGGTGGAAAAAGGTCAACTTTTCGAAGAAGGAGGAGCAGGTCGAGTTCGCGGAGGAGATGGAGAAGACCAGAGGCGTGGCAGCGGTTGCCCGATAAAAATTTAGAAATGGATCTTCTGAACTTTTGATGCGGTCGATGTGGTCCGTGCAATCTCTGGACATCCTGGCAGCTCTGGGGTCAGGGCCAATCATCTTACAGCGATATCTTTAAAGTGGCATCCCAAAGTCTTGGCGCTTGCTTTCGTCGCAGGGGTCCTGTTTATCAATCACCCGCCATCAAAGCTTCACCATCTCTTTCTTCAGTGACATCTCTCCACTGAAGACATTCACTTGTGAAAAGGGCTTCATGTCTTTCGGTTGAAGTCAATGTTCCGCCATGCGCTAAGACGAGCTGCTATTCACCGACCGGGAACTTCCCGAGTCACTTCAACTTTCTTACAACCTCGGCCACAGCAGCTATGTCTTATCCGCATAGCAAGAAGCTATCATGACTTTGGCCATAGGGCGTCTGCCATTGACGCCGTCTCTGGCAGCAAGGATCAAGGTGGAAATCCTAGAGACTCGACTCTGTCCTTTCTCACAAACGACACCATCTACGCCCTCTCGTCCGGATCAGGAAGAGCTGGCATAGCTGTAATCCGTGTTTCTGGGCCCGGATGTCTTGATGTAAAAACAAAAACCCGTCCATCCCAATTATTAATCATCAACCTTTGACTAACACCAAGTGAAGGTCTACAACTCACTATGTCCCACCAAACCCGTTCCCAAGCCTAGATACGCCGCAGTGCGCACCCTGACCGAGCCCACAGCGCCTGGCAAAGAGGTCTCATCAGCTGCTAACGCCAACGTCCTCGACACCGACGCTCTGGTCCTCTACTTCCCCGGTCCCAAGACCGTCACAGGCGAGGACATCCTCGAGCTGCACGTGCACGGCGGTTCCGCCACCGTCAAGGCCGTTCTCTCCGCCATTCCCAAGTCCGAGTCCACTTCTTCGGGTACCATCCGCTACGCCGAGCAAGGCGAGTTCACCAAGCGCGCCTTCCTCAACAACCGAATCGACCTCGCCCAAGTCGAAGCCCTCGGCGACACCCTTTCCGCAGAAACCGAGCAGCAGCGACGGGCCGCCATCCGCGGCACCTCAGGCGTGCTGGGCAAGACGTACGAGTCCTGGCGGGAACAGCTGCTTCTCGCCCGCGGCGAGATCGAAGCGCTTATCGACTTCAGCGAGGACCAGCACTTCGATGAGTCGCCCACGGAGCTGCTGCGGAACGTGACTCATCTCGTCAAGGGGATCTTGCGCTCCATCAAGCTGCACGAGATGGGGAGCCAGCGGAGTGAACTACTTCGCAACGGCATTCGCATCGCGTTGCTCGGTCCACCGAACGTGGGGAAAAGCAGCTTGATGAACCTGATCGTCGGAAGAGAAGCGAGTATCGTTTCGTCTGAGGCCGGTACGACGAGAGATATCGTGGAAGCTAGTCTTGATATCCGCGGGTATTTGTGTTCGTTTGCTGATACGGCTGGTATTCGCACGCGCTCGTCTTTACTACCAGCAGAGCAAAAGGAGGAGGCGCCGATAGGCAAGATTGAAGAGGAAGGGATCCGGCGCGCGAGACAGAAAGCCCTCGACTCAGACGTGATCATTGTTTTGGCATCTGTCGAACCTCACACCAACAACAGCTACCGCCTAAACTACGACCTCTCAACGCTCCACCTCGCGTCTTCAGCGCCCGAATCGCTTCTGGCAATCAACAAATCCGAGACTGTCCCTCCCGACGTCCTGGCACAGCTCATTCAGTCATTCAAAAACGACGTCCTCTCCACTGCCCTTCCCGAAAACTCCCCGCTCAAAATCAAAGATCCAATCCTCATCTCCTGCCGAACCGCCGAGCAACAACAATCCCTTAAAGACACGGACGATAAAGACCCAGGCAAAATCCACCACCTCATCTCTCGTTTATCCTCCTCCTTCGCCGACCTGACCGCCATTCCGCAAGACATGGAGCACTTGCTAGGCGTCACGGCGAGGCAGAATGAATTGCTGGGCCAGTGTAGGGATGCGTTGGAGGATTTCATGGCTGAGGCGAATCCGACGACTTTTGAGGGAGAGGGAATGGGAATAGGGGAGGAAGTGGAAGCGGATATCGTGCTGGCGGCGGAACATTTGCGGGTGGCGGCGGGTAAGTTGGCTGCTATCACGGGAAAGGGAGAGGCGGGGGATGTGGAGGAGGTGTTGGGGGTTATTTTTGAGAAGTTTTGCGTGGGGAAGTAAGTCTAAATGTGTAACAAATCATAGATAGCATTGGGGCTTTGGATGAATGAGTTGGACAAAATTGAAAAATGCGGTATGCTGAAGTTTATCCGTCTCTCTAGACTTTCCCTGTCTTTCTCTCTTCTGTTGACTACCAATTACATCCTCCAAGTCTTTTCCATGAGTCCAGCGAGGACAGTGAAGTCTAGCCTATGAGAGGTTAAAACATGTGAAGGAAAGAGAGGTAGTGAAACAGAAGTGTTGAAAGAAAATAGAGGAGACCAAAACCAAACATGGACCCCTTCCATTTGCCAACCCCATGCAATGTCATCAACATACCCAACCGCCTTCTATATGGATTCCCAGGAGAAAGCAACACCCCTTTGAAACTCCCCAGCCTATGCGTTGCCATGAAATGAAGGCCTCGACCAGTAGAAACACCCCACCCAAAACTTCGATAAACTCCAAAAAGATGCAAGTCGAAATGTGCCGTTGCCGGTGTTGTTCTTGTACAGTATGAAAGAGATAGCGCGAGCAAGAAGAAATCAGAAGTATCCAGTGTTTTACTTCTGCTCCTCATCGTCACCATCATCGCCCCTGGAGGTTTCTTGTTAGTTATGGTGTGTCTTAGGTTAAGCTGTGGTGATTGTGACTACTCACTTGTTGTAACCAGAGCGGCCAAAGTTGCGGAACTTGTTGTCTTCGTCGTCATCGCCGTCCTTGTTGTAGCCGGAACGGCCAAAGTTGATGAGGCTCTTGTCCTTCTCTTCATCGTCACCGTCCTTGTTGTAGCCGGAGCGGCCGTAGGCGACGGGGCAGCGGGTAGTGGAGGATCCCATGACAGCCATTGTGAATGAATTTGTGTGGTGAAGGGGGGATATGTTGTAGATGTTTGAGAGTGGGAGTGGAGAGTATTTGTATGACGTGAAGCTTTTCAAAAGGTTGGAAGCCGAATGTAGTAAAATGTTGATGTTTGATGCTGATGGTGATACTGAAGCTGATGATGAGAAGAAAACAACCTCATAACTCGGGCATCTCCAAGAGCTTATATACAGAGGAAGAAGAGACACAAAGCCAGGCAACTACCTTTTGGCTTTGAGGCCATTCCCGGAGTAGCCATCTCGGCTAGGAGGCACCTTGGGGGTACTGGCCCCCCAAGCGCCGCAGCGGTCCGCGGTCTTGCGCATGACATAAGAAAATGGAGATCTAAGGCTCATCATCAAGCGTCCCCTAAGCCCGGTGTATGGGGTTGAGGGATGCGTTTCTGAGCAATACTATGTTGTATCGTCAATCTTGTGGTACGGGGTTCGTAGTCACAGCCTCCCAAGAAAATAGTACCTGGCGGTTCAGGCTCCCATCTGCCAAGGGGTACAAGCGAAGGCACCCAGATTTGATCCAGGGGAAAGGCTCTAAGCGAAGTAGATCCGTTGTTGCAAGTAAGTACCATGTCTCCACAAGGCTGGGGCTGGGTAGGGGCCTCGTCTAAGTTCGTCGTCTATTCGGGCCTCTGTTCATCGGATGTTGTACAAATTCGGTCAAAGTATCGCTAATAGCAGATACGAGTCGAGAAAGAGCCCCCAAGCCAAGGCTTCAAGGCTTCCATTTGGGGTTGTCAGAGCTGAAGGACATGCGTTCTCCGCGATGCAACGGGAAGATCCCAAGTACACTAGCAAGTGAGTGAATGACGCTAACTGTAGGGCTGAGTCCACGATACACAAGGGCTGCGAAGGCTTTGATAGGTGCCTGAGACGCCGAGTCCAGCGAGTTGAGCGATGTAACTCGGTAGATATTCCCGGCGGCGTTACCTATGATGCTGTCCACTCCACGAGGCCGCGCCGTCGGGTAACATCCATTTGGAGTTGCTTACAACGCAGTCGAGCATGTTCTGGACAGAGGTTTCGATCGGTCAGACTTTTGGTGATGCTTATTGGAAAACGGGGGCTATGTGGATGCGCTCTGCTCTCAACGGAGTCGTCACGCCGAAATGTGTGTGTGTGCTGCAAGTGAGGCCAGTCATCGTTGATAATCTCAGACATTGTTGCCGTGCAAAGCTGCTCTTTGCCTGTCAGCGACATGGACTATTGATGTGTACGTACATGGGCCCTGAGTTGGGGGTGTTTTTCGGCGGTACTTTTGTTGAAGATAGCATCAATCCCAGAATGCGAGTAGGATGAAGCGGTGATGGATGACTTTCCACTTCAAAGCATCCCAATGGTCCGGACAAGACGAGCCTTCCCTCACAATTACCCATTGGGGATTATGCAATCATCAATGCACTCACTCGCTCCTGCCACGAACGGATTCCTTAGATAGGACTTCCCAGATAGGACTCATTCCTTCCTGTTGAGTCGTCTAAAGTCCGAACCTTAACGGCGGCTCCGCGCCGTGCTGCGGCTTCAATCATGTTGACGAATGGCTTTTTCCTCGCCGTCGGGATACTTTGGCTGCTCAGCTGTTGGAAATAGGGCGGCCGATGATAATGATACTGAAACTCCTGTTACGGGATCCTCTGGTAGGTTGAGTTGGTTTTCCAGAAGGACGTTGGAAGGCAAGAAGGATGGTTGCATTTGACTTGCACCCACGAATGGGATGATAAGATGCGCCTTCCGTAAGTTCCGTCTTCTTCTTTTGTGCCTCTTCTTTGCAGTTCTCTGCCACCTCCTTTCCCTCACCAACTGGTCATTTGCCGGCAGCCGACCGCGCCAACGAAAGTCTGTCGAGGACAGAAGCCCTAGGTAGGACTCTTCAGTTCAACCGGGTCACATAGACGGACTACTCACCACTTCGCACACCGAGTCTCGCCGACTTTGAGCCTTGACGACTCGCACAAACAAGCCCGAATCACCAGAATACCCCTGGATAGACGGCTGCCTTAGCATACTTTTCGTGTATGTATATTGATGACGAGATTGCGGCACTTGGGTGGCCTCCGGTGAATTGACCGCGGCGGCGCATTCGGTATGTGTTGCCGGCTGCTTACGGCGTACAAAGAGAAGGGTTCAGGTTGTGTTTCAGGGGTTGTTTTGTTCAAGAGGAAGTTGACAAACAGCCGCCGGCGTTGTGGGGGTCAAACGGCACTTCAAGCCCCGGCCCGTCCCCCGGGTGCGGGGCACTACCTACGTCAACATCACCCCGTCTCTTTCTCCGTGCCCCCGGTATCCCCGGAGTCTCTCAAACCATCCAGATTGCCCTAGACTTGAGTTGATTCGGTGTTATCATTCAACACGCACGGGCGTGTTAGGCTTCCATTCTGCCCTCAAAATAGGTACAAAAGCCACCGAGCCAAAGACTTCACTGCCGAGCACTGCCCCTTTCGGAATGCAACCTTTTAGGAACTACACTAACAATTTCCCAGAGTGTTTGTTTGGATTCCAACAACATACGTCACCCTCCATCTCATATCGTGATTGCATGCAACCTTCTCTCTTTCATCAACAACTCTACCAAATCAACGTCAATTTGACGCGTTTCCTGCCATGACAACCTCTAAAGATGAGCTCGTCAATCGAGCTTTCGAAGACATGCACAACGGCTTATCCCAGCGCGCTGCAGCAAAGAAACACGGCATCACCCAATCCACCTTGTCACGTCGTGTGCGCGGCCCCCTAACGAAACGCAAATCGAAGGTCTTGACCCAACGACTATTCCCCTCACAAGAGAGATTCATTTGCAAACGGATATCGGACGAGGACAAGGCTGGCCGTGCTCCAAGTCGTCCTCAGGTGGTCGGGTTCGTGACGTCGATATTGAAAAGAGCAGGAGATCATGACAAGCTGGGGCCGCAATGGATAGACCTCTTTATAAACAGGAATCCCGAGGTAGGGACCAAAATCTCTAGCTCTCTCGGGTCAGCGCGAGCTAGGGGGTCTACTAAGGGATCAGTCACCACTTCCGATTTATTGGGAGACCAGATTGGCGACAATGCCCTGGACGACTCAGATGCCATGATTAATGACGATGCCCTCCCTCCATCACCAGCCATAAAACCACCTAGAACACCACCCAGAGTCGAGGACTCAGAGGATGAAATTATCTTCAACACTCCCAAGACGGGCAGGGATGTGATGGAAGCCATCCAGGACGAGCTACCTAACATGGATCCTCATCTCGCGATGGTTTTCATTAAAACGGCCAAAGCCCTGGATATCCAGAACGCTAAAGTCGCTGCCTTGGAGCGCCAAATTCAATATCCCGAGGCCCGGTTGGAGTTACAGGGAGCCCGTGAGCCTTAGAGCGCGTCTTCAAACAAAGAGAGGTTGCCCAGGCACGCGAGACGGTGAATAGGAAGCAGGGAAAGCACTCAAGTCAACACTGCAGGTCATTCACAAGCATGAGCATCAGAATGAGTACATCAACATTTCAAACGATTGAGTTCCCTGCAAAAATGGTCAGGTTTCGATTATATCTAGGTTTCGGTGTGTGGTAGCCGGTCATTGGGTCACGATATGCTACTGACCTTATTCCTCTCCTACCATCTACCTTATGGGTACCACAAGCCCACATGGCATTCTCGGAAGAGATCAGATGCGTTTCCATGTTACACAGCATCTCAAGACCGAGAGTGGGGGTCTCTCCAGCTTCGACGAGAGTGGGATGAATAATCCAACACATGACACCAGCTGCTGTCTGGCAGAGAATCTTTTTACTCTTGAGTCTTAATCAGCAAAGTCATACCTAGTCTGACAAGCGTCAAAGAGACTTTGATAACATTTCACCGCAACTTCAATCTACCTACCATTGAACTCAAAAAGATCTTCTGTCTTCCAAGAGAAGTGAGAAAGGCTCGCAGCACCCAACTCAACCAGGTCACTGAGACTATCATCATCACCACTCCCCAATACCGTCCTATACGGCTGCCTGGTCCTGAACAACGCCTTTCCGCCTTCGTTCCCCCATCACACCCAAGCTGAGATATCGGCCCCCCCTTTCTTACTCAGGTACTCAATAATTAAGCGGCTCTGCTAATCCCAAGTCTTAGTTCGGGAAGGGTATGTACTAACAATACTCCCAATTGCCGACCCTCTCCCGTTGTATCCATCTCCCGCGAATGTCATGCAGCCCTGCGGAAATAAGAGGCGCGTGGGGGTGAGTCATGACTATCAGCACAGTAGTAGCCCGATGTCTTGCTACGATACGGATATGGGGGCTTCGGATACTACTATGGACGGACATGCCGGTGCATGTTGTGCTTTACGGCTTTTGTCTGTCTCGAGTGAGACACGAATAACAACCGAGGAGTGTGATGACTGATGCTGTTGAGCGGCTGTTTTCAAAGGGTCTGGCTCCTTTTCGGTTGTTTGAGGGCTCATGGGAAGGGGAGCCGTCCCGCTGCCGTTTGAGCCTCGAATGACCTGAACCTTGATTACAAAGTTGGAGTGCCAGATGAGCGTTATCAAGCCTGCTTGCTTGTAGTTTACTTAGTTCTATCTGCCTGCGGGTACTTGAGAAGATACCTTGTGTAGTTGTTATCTTCACAGGCCTAGACGTTGTTAGTTACCCAGACAAGTTCCAAGGTTAAAAGGACATACAAGTAGGTTGATGTCCCTCTCTACGGAGCGGCGACACTGCTAGTTAGTCAAAGAAAGTTCAGGACGATCAATAACTCTAGTCGCGGTAGGTATAGGTTCAGCAGATGGGAATGAGCACCGTAAAGGATCACTTCGGGCCTTGAAGCAGTTCGAGAAAACAAAGGCTCGGTAGGACCAGCCGTTGACCGCGAAGGAGCGATTATCACGGGCTTTAATGAGAAGTTGCACGGAGCTTCCAAGGGAAGAAGAGGGCAGAGTGATTTGAAACGCGAGGTCAGGAAAAGCTATCCGTAGACTTTGGGACAGTGTTGAAGTGACATACGGTCTGTCTCCTGTGAACATCCGGAAAGAACCATAAGACAGCTCCTTCCTCTTCCTCACAATACGGTGTTTGAATTCTTAACTCTTGATTAACTAGCACGTGCCAAGTCACTTGATTTGTTTCCAAGATTCTGTTAAGTGTGACTCAGCCCAAGTCTTGCGTTGAACTTTGATTTGATCCTAATTATCACCCTAGGATCAAAAGCATATAAATGCATCTGCCCATAACCTTCACCGATACCTCACACGTTTGGGATGAAAGCATCCTAGACCCATTCAACACCTCTTCTTAAATACAACCTCATTGTTCCAGAACAGCGGAAGAGATCGCCGCGATTTCGTTACCCATCAACAATGAGTAGCTCTCCCGCCGACCCACGTCCGACGAGACGGACGAGAATAGTTTGCATCAGCGACACCCACAACTGCACTGTCAAGCTACCCAAGGGCGACGTTCTCATCCATGCCGGTGACTTGACAAACCAAGGGAGTCTTTCAGAGGTACTGACCCCAATATTCTTCTCTAAGCTATCCTAGGCAACATATGGGAGATTCGCCACGCATGTCAACAGACTGACACGCATAATTAACAGCTCACCAAAGCAATTCAATGGCTTGAAAAAGCTGACTTTGAAGCCAAGATTGTCATTGCCGGTATGTCTCATCAGTCGTTATCCCAAGTTGCCTTTCAGTTCACTCAAAGAAAACGGACACTCACATTTCTCTTCTCAACAGGAAACCACGACAAAGCCCTCGACACGGCACTCTCTTCTAAATCCTCCCTGCCGCTAGCCATCTCTCCAGAAGCCCGTTGCTTCCATGACCAGTCCCTCCCCAACCCAAAAGAGTGTCTGTCTCTCTTCGAGACTCACGGGCCATCAATCACTTACCTCCGCCATGAGTCCGCTGTGATCAACCTCACGGACTCAAAGGGTCCGAGAACAAAGTTCAAAGTACTTGGGAGTCCCGGGACTCCTGGCCTGGGAGACAAATGGGCGTTTGGGTATGAAAGGAGTGTCTATGACCCGAACTACGTCTCCAGGGAACGACAGGAGGCGCGGGCCATAACTGATTTGGGCGTAAAGCCGGACGGAAACGAGGATAAAACTGCAGACAAGATCTGGTCTTCCATCCCGTCCGACACCGACATCCTCATCACGCACACACCTCCGTACGGACACTGCGACCTTGGTGTCGTCCGCGGGTCAGATGGTCTTTCAGAAACTGGAGAAGTGGGGGAGAAGAAGACAGAAAAAGACCGACATCTAGGATGTTACTCCCTTCTCCAACGCTTATCAGTCGTTCGACCGAGACTGCATGTCTGCGGACATGTACATCGCGCTAGGGGGGCTGAAAGGGTCCAGTGGCCCCCGCCGAGCCCTCATACTTTGGATCGGGGAGAAGATATCTCTAGCGACGCGGAAGGGGGATGGACAGAATCAGGAACAGGAAAATGGATGGACCCGAGCCCGGATCCAAAGTCTGCAAAGATCAGTCTGGTGGATTTGACGGGTCGCGGTCGTGGGGAAGGAAGCAGGAGGCTAGACTGGGATGACGCTGAGGTTAGTGATGCGGCAGGAGAAAGGGGAAAAGGAAGAGAGAGAAGAAGAGAAGGACGAAAGGAAACGTGTGTGGTGAACTGTGCCATTCTGGCGAGCAATTATCCTCACGCGGGAGGAAAGAAATTTCACAAGCCGGTGGTCGTGGATTTGGAGTTGCCAGTTTGTGAGGAGGGGGACAGAGGTGTAGAAAAGGTTTGAATAGCTGAGAGGGTTGAAATAATGATGGTAATGAAAGTGAAGAAAGATTCGGGTTGCCTAGCAGGTTGTTTCACGACGGTGATGAGTGAAGACGTCAACGAGCTTGTGAAAGCTTGAGAGAAAGTGTTGACCACAGGAAGATGAAGCCAAGTGTCCAATTCCTGAGCAGACGGAAGTACCTGCTACAAAAGGTTTGACAGTGGAGTGGGAGGATGAAGAAGTGTGTCTCCGTGTGAAAGGAAGGTACGAACTAATTTTGCACTTCGGCAAAGATGGAAGCACAGTCGTGGCGAAATTCTGAGATCCACCTACAGCGAGATGCCGGTGTCGCAACTCGAGCACTGCACAAGAGAGGAAGGTGCAACCTGTCATCGCCGCGGTAGCTGGAAACTAACTGACACTTTCCTGGATGTTCAAGATATGTGTCAGTGAGGTCATGACCGTCTACTTGTATGAAGCGGATGTTCGGACAAACCAAAGGTTGACACTCGGTGCTGTAGACTGTAACTAAGACACGATGATAACATTCTTCAGGTACTGAAATGTGCTTGAATTAGAGAAGCGGATAGCAATGACCAGTAACTCACATTACGCCCGTAGACTTCGCTGTCAATCAGAACCTTTTCTTTCAAGGATACATACATCAATTCTATCCGGGGCATACAGAATCTTCGCTGATAGCTGCTGCAATGGACGAAAGCCCTTGAAGACCTTTTTAGTGCCCTTTTACTCCGTATAAATTCAATGTAGTCGTCATCTTGTCGTACCTACGACATGACATCGGAGTAAAGGAGTGTCCACTTGATGACTCTGTTGTCCACCCTTCATATTTTTTATTATTATTTTTATATTTTTTCTTTCTTTATGTTTCCTCAAATTTTTTTCCCCAATATTGTCAATGTAAGAGGGCGTTATCTCGCCGCTGTTTGTTGTTCTCATGCTTAATATGACTACGTGAAAAGGATCTTTCGAATCTCTCCGGATTGCTTGAAATATCTATTTCTGTACATGCTCTTCTTACGGCCTACGCCGGTGATGAAAACTATAACAACACCCAACGATGGCGGCATCGGAATTCATCTTGAAGTGAATATCCTTCGCAGACAGGAGCTCATCTAGTACCTAGATCCATTTCTGTGCCGAATCGAGTCCTGTCACGTGGGTAAAATTAATCAAAGGTACGCAGGCAAACACGGCACTTACCTATCTTCCCCTATCCCGACTGATTCCAATCCCCTTCGAACCCGAACATCGAGGAAACTCCGAAAATGCGAAGCTACCCCTTACTCACAAGTAGTCATCCGGTCCCTCATCTCTTAGACGTGACCGCCTTCCCAGTTGAACTCCACCTCATCAACCCTATTCACATGTTCAGGGACCAAGGTTCCATCCGCCTGTCTCTTCCGCTCTTCCGTTCCCGTCCGTTCCTGAGTACCCGACAGAAAGGAAGTCACCGCCCGGTAACCTAAGATCAACCCCTACTGCGTAGATTACCCCCTAGCTTCCGCCATCCCATCTAGTTTCTAGGAGTTAGTTTCAACCTCCTCCACCAGTTCCCCATCTCTACCCCCATCGACGGAACCATCCCACCCCCCTATCCGCCACCAACCCGTAACAACCCACAACTACCCACGACCCATTCGGTTGGTTCAGCCCGCAAGATCTCCCGTAGTCCCCATCCAGTGATCCAGTATCCATCAAAGACCGCGTTGGGAACCCCCATTGGACATTGAACCTATCACAGCTCAGCTCGCAAGTACTAACCCAACCCAACCCAAACCGAATGTGGATAAGCATCATACATATACCTAGCCAAAAAGGCTCCAAAAGCAGTCGTGGCACGATGGGAGTGATCAGAATTCCTCAACAAGTGGAAATTTACCTTCCTTTTTAGCTTAGGTACCGGTCTACCTACCGCGGCAGCTGGCTCAGCCTAGGTAACATGCTTATGTACTTAGTTGAAAGAGAACGTAGGTTCAGCTTAGTTTAGCCTGAGGGAGATCACGGATAGGGCAAGCCGAAAAACCACACCGTCGGCTTCTCGATTTCGGTGTAGAAGCGAGGGAGAAGGGCTTTTTGAACCTATCATTGGAGTTTTTTGGCATTTGAGGCGGGAGCTAAAGCTTGCGTGTTTACATGCCGGTGGTGCTTGATGGTAAGGAGGGCGCAGAGATGGTCACGAGGTTCAGTTCTTAGGTAATGTTAGCTTGACAATCTGACACTGACAGATCTCGGCCGGTCGGCCGGTCGGTCAACGTTGGGATGAATTGTCTTCGGGCCGGTTTGGGCATGGTATTTTTGTTCGTTGCTATTTCGTAGCATCCGTTATCTGCAACACGTTTCGGTCAAAGTCCCCAACAATGGAGATTCAAAAGGATAGGATAGGATACCTACCCAGACCGCCTTCCTTACCTCACTTCACCTTACCTACCGCCTACTCTACCTGACCGTTCCGCCCACATGGCATTCGTTTTGAGCTGATCATGTCGTGACACGAACCGGCGGTCCCCGTTTTTTTGGGCTATGCCATCATAACACGCACCTTGGCTTTGACAGTTCGACAGGTTGCCAGTTGATCCCTTTGGCCTAGCTTGGTGGGTTTGATGGGGGTCCGCCGTAGAAGAGTTAACACGTGTCAGGCCTCACAGGTCGGATTGGACCTATCACCGCCCGCTGGGCATTTCTCTTGATCTCCGTCCTGTTCGACGACGTCAAACTTTTGCGCTAAGTGGCCGAACGTTTCGGGTAGTCGATCCGGGGTTGAAGGCGGAGACCACAAACAAACGGCCTGGGATGCGGGATGGATCGGGTCCCGAGCGGTCTGCCTGGCTCCCTGGGAGAGCCACTGATGGTCAACACCGGGAACTGAACCCGAATCGAATCCAAGCACCATATGGTTAGTTGCTCGAGCACTCCCAGCCTTTGTTATTGGCACGCGACAGCAATTTCGTTGATGATTCGCTGTCAGTGTCTGTCGATCGTCGAAATAGGATTATCCTACTTGTGGATTCGTCCCAAACATACCCAGACGTTTCCACTTACGTAGGTGACAGTTCCGCAACGCTGATGAAGTCATACCAGGAGGTCGCCATGTGGGATTTGCGGGTGAGCCGGCACTTTGGAAAGTCTTGGGTCTCCATATTGTTTGGCTGTTTGACACGCGGTGAGTTGGGTATGTCTCCATTGCCATGTGGATTTCGTCGACCAGTTTGTTGATGTAATTAATTGGCTTTTGGCTGACTGATCTGCAAGAATGAGCTTGAGCTGGGTTTCAGAATATGACAGCTCAACCCGCTTGCCTAAAAGGCTTTGAATATTCTTTCTCAGGGTCCGAATTCTCACGGCAGTCTGGAGAACAAGGCTATCATTCTGCCGGACTAATGGTTTTTGGTTGTCGGTCGGATACGGTGTAAAGACATGTCCAAATCGGGGTCAAGTCCGCCTAAAGGCCGTCACGCGAGAGGCGACTGATGCGGAGTGTTCTTCTGTCACATGCCCAGGTCCGAAGCTGTGTATACGAATAATATGAGCGAGAATTGTTTGAGTGTAGTGTGTCCCCGAATCCAAAGCCTTGTTACGAATATCGTCAAGGGTTCGATTTGAGCCCCTTGACTGGACAAATGGCGGCCCGCTCCGATTGCCGACGGAATGCCGTCCGCTTCGTCGATCCCCTAGCCTTGCCTGGGTGATACTATTCCCCGATCAGCTGGGCCTTTTCAGGCCCGCAGGGGGTCGGAATCGACACCCTTGGAGGCTCAGGCATAATGGTCACTGACCACGTTATGACTTACCCAAGCCTTCCATCCAAGAGTGTCATACCCATTGTGGAGTTTGGCTCTGACTCCAGTCAAGTTTGTAAGAGTGTTCTCCGAAAGAGAAGAGCACAGCGTTGTAATAAGAAAATCAGAGAAACGATGATGCTGATCAGGGTGCATGCGGCAGAATACCAGTCAGACAGCCCATTTAGAAGATGGCCACAACGGACAAAGGTACAAGGAGATGCCTGCCGAGAAGGCTCAAGGTATGGGCAACATGTTGTTCCAGCAGCCGGGAGAAAATCGGAGCACAAGTTCATCGGGAAGCGGCTCTAGAAGCCCTCGTGTCCAATCAGCCTGACGCATCTTCCCCGCTACTTGACATGTTTGGCTTCGAGGGTCCTCACTCGAGAAGCACGAGTACGGGGGAAGTGTGATGCGCATCTGTGACGGGCATGCAGGTTGCACGGTTGCAACCGGCCGGCATACGGAGCACCTATCATAGGGTTTGCAATAGATAAAACCTCCTGGTCTCTCCTTGTACGCTTCCATGATCTGGCAATGTCTGAAGGACTCGCAGTTAGTGAAAAGCAAGACAATCCAGGATGCAATGGCACTTACTAGTCTCATTATAAAGTCGATGTCAAGCTCGTGCTTGTTCTTCTCACAATCAGAGAGTTCTTCCCAAGTCTCTCCAAGCGTATCCGTTCGATCATGGGAACACGAAGTGCTGAGAGCAAACGTTGGCACGGCCGTCTTCTCAACTCGTCAAGAACCCTAGATATGAAATATGCAGGTAGAGCACCACCACCAGCATCTCGTAAGCTCACCGCCACGGAGATGGGTGGTTACAATATCCTTTGGGCGGTCTAGGATTTGCATCTCGTGTGCGGCTGCCCCGGCTTACACTCTCCTCTCGAGCTGCATTATCAATAGTGCTCCAGTGTACATGTGCAGACAGGATCCCCCACGGCAAAGGGATTTCGCGTATGTACTGTGCGGTTGGTGTGACGCGACCTGGCCGGCATCGCATGGGGAAACCAACTGATGAACAGGAAAACGAACGACTGCTGTGAGGATCTCATCCGGGGGCATGGCCCCGGCCGCCAAACAGGAACACGACTAAGAGCGTAAGGAGGGGTATGGATGTTGTCTTGGTGGTTTAACCGTTTGGCGGGGTCACGTCGACAGTCGCTCGGAAGGAGGAAACGGGGGGTGGAGGGGCTTGATGTAACTCGAGCACGCAGTGAGCGTGGCTTGTGGCCGTTAGTACAATGTTGGTGAACGACCAAGGCCAACGTCTGAAACAACGTTGCCTGAACAGATAACCCAATTGCTCTTCCTGGTATTCATATTCGGGATCCGACGTCCACGTTCACTCCAAAGACGAGGCCATTTCTCCAGAAGAGAAAGACAAGAAGTCGGGTTAGGTGATGTGTGTCTTGTTCGCCGAGAGCGCTGCAAAAGCCATGTATGAGACGCTATTTGCATATCTGAGGCACGGGTATTGGCAGCAGACGAGACTCTGTAGCCAGTCGATCAACTCATTTTACCGGCCCGCATTAGTCGTCAAATGGGGGAAAATGCAGCACTCCGGCCGTCCCTCAAACCATGGCTTCAGACGGGGATTGGATGGAGTGACAAGGCTAACAGCAGACTGTCACAATGGACCTGTTGTATGTATGAGGCTGTACCTGCTTCTGGATGTGTATCGTTCCCCTGGGTGGGTATCGAGGGTTAATGTAGGTATAAAGGGAGCAATGTGTTCTGATTGGGTAAAAGACTGGTTTGGTGTGGAAGCTGACTGGTGTCAGTTGAATGGTGCTGTTGCAAACCTGTCGGCCATTCGCATATGGAAATATGACAAAGTTGGCGTTGAGAGAAATCGCTCTTGTGATGGCCCAATCAGCCAGAGTTTTTCTTCTGCTGTCCATGGAAAGGGTTGACATCCAAGAGGTCAAGACAGCGTCTTTATCCCAGCGATGACAGGACGAACTGCTGCATGGGCACTCGGAGCGTCACAGCCCAGAAGAGCAGGGTAGACGCCTCCGAAATCCGGGGCTGTCGATTGTGCAGTTTGCAGCGTGGGTACAGGGCGAGATATCTCCCGTCTATAGGCCTCGAGCAATGAAAGGGATAGACAGAAAAGACGGGTACCGTACTTGGGAAGAAACAGAAATAATGGATGCCCTCTGCCGCCAGCAGAAAAATGGGCGTTGGGCGTCTAGAGCGGCTATTGGCCAAGTCGAGGGAAGAGCGATGGTTGGATGATGAATAAGGACTCGGAAAGAGCTGACCTCATTTGCGCTGAATAACCTGAAGCAGGTGCTCTTTCCCTGTTAGCAGAGCATCATCAGGAGTCTCCTGCCATTTGTGATGCTACGCCAGAGGGGGAAATGACATCGATAGGCATCCATCACCGGCATTCGCCAACTTGAAGCCTGTTTGACGACGGTTTGACCTTTTGATGTTCGACGCAATCTCAGCTCTGGACGGAACCTATTGGTGACTGCCACACCATCCGGCAGTACGTGGATTGTCACGGGAATTGACACAAGGGAGCATGAGCTTGCCCTGATGAGCGGACCTGATGAACAAGATGAGACTGCTGATCCGGCAGCTTGCGCAGGAACAAACGATTTTCCGGTGAGCTGTCAGGACTCAGGAGGTGTCTTGGGCCAAGGTGAAGTCTGTGACTGGAGCGAGTCGGTGTTCCGAACGGCGGCGGCGGCGTCAAATCCGTCCAACTTCCTTCAGAAGGTTCATCAATTCAGAGGCCGCACTCGCCACCATCACCAGCCACGCCGAGGCACCGGGCGATATTCCGATAAGATCGTGGATCCGCGGGCCACGTTCCATGTCTGTTAACTTTGCGTTCCCGTCTCAACAATGGATTTGAGCGAGTGGCATTCCGAGGAAGAGTCCGTGGCCGCCGGGAGAGAGGCCGCCTTTCTGAGGGTCGAAGACCTGGGTGGTGCTGTTTGAGATGGCAATTTTTACGGTCCATATCCCGAATCGTTGTGCTCCCTGTTTATATTAGTCTCACAGTTTCTGCAGTCGAGATTCAGGAGAAAGGGGCAACCTCATCCCTCTCAATCTCAAGGCCTCTACAGCGATGCTATTCCTGACAAAACTGCCACACCTGTGCTGCTGAAGAGGGTAGCACTATGGATCATTAGCGGCCGGCGGCCGGAAGAGAAGCTGGGAAAGAAGCCGACAGAAGTCGAAGGACGACCTGCGAGGGAACCTTGGCCGAGTGGACGTTTGGATGCCCATTTGTTCCCATTTGATGGCATAAGCCAGGCGGGGGCACGGTAAGGGCAAGTGGGTGGTCACCATAACAGGAAAAGCTCCGCATACAGCGTGCATCCAGCCAGTCAGAGGCCGTCGTGATATGCTGGTCCACCGCATTTTCAGCACCTCCGCAGTCCGCATAGCCCTCTCCTCCAAGACCTCACGTCCAACTCTCACAGTGTTGGGGGAGCATTGCGCGTCTGTCCAGTAGGAATTAGAAACTTGGACTTGTATCTGCGCTATATCTGTGCCTCTGGGTGCAGAAGCGCGACATTGACGACCCTACTGTGAGCCTATTCACACCTATCGAATCCCCGCAACTGGGCGCTATCGAGAGCTTCACACAGGCAGGTGTCTGTGAGGTACGAAAGTGGAAAAGAGCAAAGAAGGTAAGTACACCAGGTGCTGAATAGTATGTAGAGGTACCTTAGCTTGACCTGCCCGTCTGCATGTGGGCTGTCTCGGTATCTGTCATCCCATCTCAGGTCCGGTTCCATTCTCCCCCTCCTATTCGATATCGCATCGGGGCCCATCAAGATCCAGAGTTCGGTTCGTCCCAAGTTTGAACGGGCATGTCCAGTTTTGGTCATCATCAATTCGACTCTCTCTCATAAGCAGTGCAGCTAAGGCGCATCAGAGCCCTCAGTTTGTCAGTCGCGATACGGACTACCCTTTCCTTCCCCTTCTTCATCCGTTTACTTTGCATTCCAGTGCCGACTGGAAGTTACGGGAAAACAATCAATCGGGGAGCGCACCTGCCCGTCAACTTGAACCATAGCACCACTCACGCACTCGACCCTGGCACGACACCAAAGCGGAAAGTGCAGGTGACCTTCGTCCTCGACCTTTCACCTTCCGCGCATACCGTACCTTGCTCAATCCACTTCCCTCTTTTTTCAGACTTTGTTTCCTGGCCTTCAATTCCCCGTTTTCCACTTCCAATTCTCGGTGTCGTCGACGCATTATCCGTTGGGATTTACCAATACCTGTCTGTCAGGCCATATTGTGGGCTGGCCTTTTGGTCTCTTTCCACCCGACCCCCGTCACGCCTGTTCCTTGAGAGCCTATTACCATTCCTCTTTTGCTTCGTTGCTTTGGGAATTATCCTGCTCTCTTTGCCGTCTAATCATATACGCCAGCCATACACGTACACACCATACCGAGGGACCCTTATACCTGGTCTTTTAATCATTGATCACCGCCTTTGGTTGCACGACAAATCCAGCACCAGAAACAACAACACCACGAGCCCCACTCCCGCCGGCTAGTCTCCAGATCCCCGAGATCCCTTCCCCCCCCTAACGATTCACCCCTGTTGCTCCCTTGGCCCTGCACAAGCATAGCTAGACACCACACTACAACCACTAGACAACGGTCCACCCTATAACCAGTCAGATCACGACGACCAGCACCTATACCTACCGCTACCGCCCCCAGAAGCTGCCCTCCAACTTTCCCTCCACGCTTTCTTTCTTTCGCCTCAATTACCGTCTTTCACTTCTCTGCGCCCACAGCCGCACCCGTTTTGCCCCTCCAACCGCGCGCCAGCCTCGCAATCCCTACCACCTCACACTTCTACGCCTCCCATCCCCAGGGGCATATTCAACTCTCCCTCCGGTTTCTACGACAATACCACGCCTTTCAATGCTTTAGTTGCTCTGTCTTGACGGACGCCTGGTGCCTTCTTGTCAAGTCACATATACTTTGTCGGTTCGCTTTTCGACAAACTCACCTCAAACACCAAAGCTCGAGTCAACCCACTTTTCCAATCCCCATCATCACCATGTCTTCTCTTCCTCCCGACCCGTGGCAGGTCCTCGGCATCGCGAAGACGGCAGACAAGACCGAGATTCGGACTGCCTACCGGAAATTGGTCCTCAAGTGCCATCCAGATAAGGTCCAAGATCCGACTCTGAAAGCTGAGAAGCAAGATGAGTTCCAAAAAGTCCAGCAAGCCTATGAGCTTCTCAACAACGACGAGGAGAGGGCAAAATATGAGCATCAGGTTCGAATGAACGAACTCAACCAACAAAAGACACGGGCAACCTCAAAGAGCGCGGCTCATTCTCCAGCTGCTCGATCATCTCCCAGGCACAAGGATTTCGCTTTCCCTCCTGCGCCAGAGCGTCCTTCTCACAGGACAACGACATCAACCAAGGAGAAGATGTACTTCCAGCCCTCGCGCTCTAACGAGGATGTTCCTACTGGTCGCTTCGCGGACATGAACTTTGGCGAAGAGAGACGTGCTCGTCGAGCAACCAGTTATGAAAAGCAACCAAGACATGAAGAGGAGAGGTCATCGAGGCGGGAAGAAGACAGGTCATTCAGACGTGAAGACGAAAGGCACTCAAGGCGCGAGGATGAGAGATCATTGAGACGAGAAGAGGAGAAGTCGAGGGACAAGCGCAAGGATGAAGAGGAGAAGAAGGCAAGGCGCCAGAGGGACTTGGAGAGGCAGCTGGACGAGATAGCTGATCTTGCCCGCAAGTCGGAGAAGAAGAAGACCGACAAGGAACGGGACAGGGTTGAGAAAGATCGGAAGGTGGAGGAGAAATCTCGCCGGCATAAGGGCCCCTCGATTGAAGTGGAGGATCCAGAGGAGCCTTATAAGTCAGACAAAAAATCTGCAAAGTCTTCGAGCAAGAAACACACGGAGACTAAGGAGCGCGAACGGGATACCTCCCACTCCCGCGAGTATGAACTTGGACGAGAAAAGTCAGCCTTTCGTCCCGCTGCGGGTCTTACTACCGATGACCCGCTGGAAAGGGCAAAGCAATACATCCAGGGCAAGGGTACCAACATCAAAGTTCGAGAGATGGAACGGATGGCCGAACCCAGAATTCCAAAGCTAGGGAGATCCCAAACCGAGTTCTGGGGCCAGAAGCCAGAAGTGCCCCGTTCTTCACCCGTTGACTACGATGACGACGAAGTCTTGCGACCATCTGCTCGACCCCGTCGATCCTCCCATGAGACGCCAGCAAAGGCCCCAAAAATCATCCCTGTTTCGCCTCGCATGACTCCGACAAACCCTCGCCCTACTCCGATCAATGTCAAGGCTTCAAAGTCTCACGGTGTCCCTTCGCCTCTGGATTCCCCCTCTCGCATGCCGCAGCGATCGCACACGACCAATGATATACATGCTGGGCATCAGTTTATCCCACCACCCATGACGCGACACACCACTTGGGCTCCTACCTCTGACCGGCATTTCGATAAAGTCTACCATAACGACTCAGATGATGGTTACGGACGCCATCATCGTTCCCGTTATGCCGATTCCCCTGCTGAGGGAGCTCGGTACAAAGCGGATGGGGGCAGAAGCTCGAGACGTGATGAACCGACATATCCTCAGGCTTACTCACGAGGAACTTCCGCCACCCGAATTTCTCCTGAGCTCTACGCATCTGCAAAAATGTACTCGTCCTCGGGTATGAAGGTCAAGGAGGGCAAGGCATTCACTTCGGCTGATGTGAAATACGCCGATGTACCCTATCCTCATCGAGCCTATCCTTCAGTACCTTCCTACTAGGATTCGTCTTGAGCCATCTTGAAACCGACAAAAAAAAATGCTTTTTCTGGGCTTTCCGGTTCTTTCTTCGGCAGGTGTTTCCAACGGCTTGCATTGAATGGGTCATCAGAGTACGGTGTTTGGTTTGGATGTTGGTCTGTTCAATTTCTGCTTTATACTACTCATATATGGGAACAGAAACCCAGGAGAGAGACAGTAACGACACGTCTACGTTTATACATCGCATGATCTGGGATTTATTGGGATATGATCTGGGGCACGAGGTAGAGGACTCAACGCCATGGCAAGGGGAGGAAACGGACGCGTTGGAAACGCGCTAGGACAAAGGTCAAGGGTAGCATCGGGAAATGACGCGCATGATGATGAAGCAATAGGAATTGCTACTTCTTGGGGTTCACTTGTTTTTCTCTGTTTTCTGGTTGTATCTAAGGCACGGGAATGACTATATAACGTACCTCATGCAAACATAGCAACATTTTTTGGATGCCCTATACAGAACGGGAACCATATCACAACATCAATTTTGTATATTCCAAACTGTGAAACTTGTGTGTCTTCTGATATAACTTAACCATGGACTACTACTTAATACTACTCGAGGCCTACACGTAGTCGCGATATGTTCTTCCTGTGATGTTTCCTTATACGCACGGTAACAGCCCGTCAAATTAATACACACACCCAAGACGTGTATATATATATATATATATATATGTGCGTATGTGTGTGAGTGTGTGTCTTATCTCTGTCGTCCATTATCCCCCAGCTTAATTGGGCTTGTTATGACCACTTTCTAGGAGGTCGTTGGTGGACCTACACTGGGATCATTACACAGATCACAAATCTATGGCTTGAAGGCATCATCATTCAGCCGTGATTCCGCCCGACGACCGACATGGAAGGTAATGCGTTGGGGGAAGATAAACCTATCTGAGACGGTCTCAACTCACGATACATTCATGCCCGGACACGCACATACTATACTCCCACCTCCCATTAATGAAATGATGACGACCCAACCAACACCACCAACAGATTAAGCAAGCTTACCTTACCTTACCTAGATGGATCAAAGCCTTGATGTTTACGGTAACAAAGGATAGAAGCGCAGATGTACCTGCATGGCAGCCCGCCAAAAAAGAAATTGAAAAAAAAATTTAAATTTTTTTTTTGAAACATGATGCCAAAACATGATGCCATCGATCGCTTTTGCCCTCCATGGGCATGTAAACTTGACTGCGAACTGATCACTTCCATTCTAGGTTGTGATGGAATTGGTTGAGTTGGCAGTCGCAACCCGTGGTAATTATCGTAACATGTAAAATTGGCAGTCACGCTCCTAGGCTATCAGACCCAGGATAAGCGCCGCAGTATCTAAGAGGGAGGAGCACTCTATGAATTCGTCTTCCCTCCGTCTTGATGGATATTCCATTTCCGCTACAGCACGTGGTTGAATGGATGCTGGCGCACTAAAGGTTGTTCTGACGGAACTAGGAAGTCACCAGATGTTGCGCTGAACATGCATGAAGGAAAAAAAAGGAAAAAAAAAGGGGGGGGGGGGGGGGGGGGCGGGTGAAGATGATAGTCCAGTTTACATTAGCATGGGTAAGGGTTCATGGTTGTTGCATAAGATGGGAGTTTAGATGGATGGGATGGAAGACGAGAGACCGGAGACCAGATGAAAACTGAAGGATCTTGCGGGTATTAACACATCATGTCGTGAGACCGAACCCTTTTTCGACTTGCTGGCTTTGAGGCCGGTTGTTACTGCCACTATCCATAATGCAAGACGGTTCAAGAAGAGGAAACCGGGTTTGGTATAAAACAGAACATATATATACTAGATGTGCATACACACACATATGTGATGGGTATCTGTAGTCTATAAACACAGAAAAACTTTGCTCCTAAAGTGACACACCCTTACAACTTTACTCTGACTCTGATACAACCACCAAACCGAACCAAACCGATTCGCTATAACAAACAATCCAGACCTGACAAATGCTCCCTCTCTTAGTGATAACAGACCGACCACCGGGAAACTGGGGACCGGAAACGCCTTTGACTGCCCTCTGTGGTGTTGAATCCAATATGCGTATGTTTATGTGATGTGATGTAATGTGCAAAACGAGAAGTCGAAACGCTTTGCTTTTCTTCTTCCTTCTTTCATTCAGATGCCGACGCCGACGCCGACACACCTCTATGGTGCTGCTGCTGTAATATGGTATAGTATGTGCTGTAATATTGACCGGAAAAGGGACCGGAGAAACGACGACGGAGGTCGGAGTAATTATACCAACACGTAAAGCGAGCAAATCTATATCACCCAACCGTTAGCAACTAGCCCCTCGATCTCCCACACTAAGAAGACAAGAACGGAAGGAGGAGGAGAACAACTCACCAAACTCAAACCCAAAATCATACTACACCAAAAGCAAACATTATTCAACGTCTTCTTCCCCCTGACCAGCTTGGTCCTCTGCAGCATCACGATCGGCAACTGGAGCATCTGGCAAATGAAGCCGTAACCCCTCAACTTCTTGGTGATGCACGCCATGACGATCTCGTGGCCCGCGGCCGAGATCAAAAACGTAATTACCGTCGCATACGCTTTGCCGACATGCGGCCTGCTGACGCTGTACACGTGCCTGCGCAAAAAGTTGTACACGGGCACGTTCCACTCGCGCGAAAACTCCATCCAGTCCGTGCTGTTCCACCAGTCCGAGTAGAAGTGGCGATCGGCAAAGTGCGTGATCTCGGCAAAAGCGCCGAGGACGTACTCGAAGATGACGAGAAACACCAACAAGAAGGTGAGCATGAAGGGGAACAGCAGCCAGGAGATGGTCTCGGACAGAATGAGCAGGACCTCGAGGGCTGTGAGCGCCGTGTCGGCGGTGCGCAGAGAAGGGTCGAGACGGATGGAGGCGTCGGTCAAGGCGGGCAGGATGAACTCCTCCGAGATGACGGTCAGCAAAAAGATGCAGCCGAAGACGGCCAGGATCTTGGACAGCAGGTTCTGCCAGTCGATGGCGGCGGTGCGCGGGTACTCGATCTCGTAGCACAGCGTTGGGCAGCAGAGGTAGTCGAGGTAGTTGGCCCACGTCAGGTTGGCCGGGTATGTGATGTTGCCCATGGGCGAGGTGAGTTCGCGGGCGAGGTCCTCGCGGAGCTGGGCCACCTCGTCGTCCTCATTGGGGGTACTGATCTCCGTTTCCTTGTCGTTGGCTTCGGCGGCAGTTTCGGCGGCGCGCTGCTTGGGGCTGACGACGGTGCCCATGGGGTTTTCGGGAGTCGGGTAGAGGTAGGCCGGGGCCTTGGAGGCGGTGGCCGGGTCGTCGAGCGCCCGGAGACGCTTCTCCGTCTCGGACAGGTGGCCCATGTAGAACGAGTACGAGTGCATCTTCATGAGCAGCACCATGGTGTGCAGCAGCAGGAAGACCTGGGCCGTCCATGTCCACTCGAGCCAGAAGGGAATGATAATCCAGACGGTCAGCCAAGCGGCCTGGTAAATGCTCTGGATGACCATGCCGCCCTTGGCCCAGGTCAGGACGCCGCCGGTCGGGGCAGCGCGGAAGACCTTGTGTAGCGGGAGGGATACGGCGGTGGTGGCAACCATGAGGAAGTCAGCAACGGCAAGATGCCAAAGCTTGACGGTGAAGAGCCCCCAGATCTGGACGCGCAGCGGGTAGCCTGTATCTTTGATGTTGCGTAGACCGGTGGTGATGGCCATGATGGCCAGGCCGATCCAGAAGAGATTGAAGAAGCCATGGAAGTCGCGGTAGTCGCTGTTGGGATCGAAGTGAGATACTCGGCTCGCGAACTCTATCGTGGGAAAGAGACGGCGGCGTTGTTCGGCACGGACTTGCTTGCGGGCGGTCGAGAGGGACTGGATGGACGGGGGAGCATCGGACGGAATCGGGGTCGAGCGGCCGCTGCTTTGGCCGGTGACACTGAGAGAAGATGGGTCAGCATTCTGGAGACATGTTTCCGGTGTCGTTCACTTTTTGTTTCGTTGTGGTATTGGTCGTACCTGGTAGCTCCGGTACCGTTAGCCTGGTCGCTGTCGCCGTTTGCATCGTGGGACAGTTGGGAGACCTGAGTATGCAAGGGTTTCCGTGGTCGAGGCCGGAGAATGTTGTCGCCTTGGCCGGCGAAGGCGTCCGCTGATGTTGATGTGGATGTCATGCTCCTTGTTCCCCAACTGAGGTTTTGTCGCAGAGCTGTGTAAGTATGTCGTCGTACGTATGTATGTATAAGGTGGTGCCTTGCTTCAGCCTTCAGACAAAGCTGGCTGCCCTGCAGAAAGTGCCTGGTGCTTCTGGACGGTAAAGACTGTTGATGCCAGGAACATAGGCCAGGCACAGACAGTAGGGATGAAAGGAAGCAAGTTCAGGGTCGAATCGGTCAGACCCCTTTGAATCATGCACCAGGATGGAATGACGAAAGGGAAAGAGAGCGTAAAAATGTTTCTGATAATATGCGAAACCTGGAGCTTCGATGCTTCTGCCAATGACAAGCTGTGGTGACACCCCGCGGTCGTTGTTGGATGTTTGTTTCCACTTCTTGTATAAAATCCAAAGGAGATGTTTCAATGTTCTCCCTTTTCTTCAGTTTCTTTTCACATCCGTCGATGATATAAGGTATCAAGGAGAACCAGACGAAGGCCTCGTCAGGCTTCCACTTCCTGTCAGGTTGAGTTACAAGATGCAAGTCATTGATGCACGCAGGCGTTAGTACGCGTTTGGGCTGGCAAGCTTCAAGCATTCAAGCCTGGAAGATCCCCATCTCCAAATTCCGACAAGTGCAAAGTGTAAAGTGCAAGCTGTTCTCCGCTGGCCGGCGGCAGTCCCAAGTCGCAATACGTCACTCCCACGTGACTACAGCAGGGGTTAGGGAGGTTGAAGGAGGTCAGCATCGATAACCATCTCGGTCCTAAAAAAGTAAAATGCGAATTCGGGTAATCGGAAATCACTTTGAGCTCTGCAAATCTTGCAAAGGTGGGATCGCAACATGGTGAGCATGGCGATCCTCCCAAATCTGGACGGAAATGGAACAAATTGGAATAACATTCATCCAAGCAAGCCCTCGATTGGGGTTGAAAAGTCGAAGCCACAGCGGGAAGGGCCGTTCTTTTATACGTCGTCGGGCAGCCCTGTATGAGGTAGACGCATTGATCCTCGCAGATCCCGTCGTGGTAATCTGCAATGAGGGAAAACCCACAGACATTCGTCCTTTTAAATGACAGAAATAAGGGCCAGTATCATCGTCTCAGGCCCCTGACCTTGAATGGACCATACCGTGAGGGACGGCCCAGGGACGCGGATAACTTGTCCGGGCAACCTACCTGATGTGACTGAGAGCTCAGTGCAGAAGATTGGAGAGTTGAACACCGTGGGGATCGTGGGGAACAGAGCCAAGTCGCAATCACCGGCATCGACATCGACATCATTCGGGGAAAAGGTGACGTTTATCTGTCTCATCTCGCGCTCTTTGGCTTTTATCTTAGCTTCTCACCTTGCCCACTGCGTGCCTTGTTTGTGGTTCTCGGTGCAAGTCTTGTCCTGTCAGCCTGCCAACAGGACTTCTGTAGTTGATCCTTTGCGCATCGACACATTAGCCAAAGGCTTTTTGGGATTTTTTTTTCTTTTGGAGTCAATGGGATGCATGTCCAAACTTCAGCGGATATCCAACAAAACATCGTAAAGGCCGTCAGGGTAGCAGTCGTCGTCCCCTTCGAGAACCTGATGGAGGCGCAGCCAATTAATTCGGCGGGTTAGACATCGTGCGAATGCGGTACGGCCCAGAGGCGGGAGTCAAAGTCGAACCAGAGGAACGGGTGATTCGTTCTCGCAATCGAACCGAGGAGGCTTGCTTGCTTGCCAGTCTTGTTGGACGGGCTCTTGCTTGCTACTCTTTGCCTCTGCTCTCAGCTTCTCCTCTTGGGCCCTGGTCCAACGCCAAGGTATTGAAAGGCCGATCCCGGCTCAGGTCTTATCAACTTGATACTCGCTATCTTGGAGATGTGGCATCTTGGATCAAAGATACACCATGGCGGGATATATCTTCTGTGGCGATCCAGTGGCAGCCTGGCCGTTCCAAATTGGTGATTCCTGAGATAAGGCGGATCTTGTTCAAGTACCAGGTCGTGGAGTTGCCGCAAGAAAAAGGAACCCCGGTATCAGGTACACTTCCCGCATTGTGGTATCTACCTCTCTGGGACCAGCGATTGGGCATCTGGCGTGGGCATCTGGGCTGCAGCACATGTGTAACAACTAAACAGACAACTATAGAACGATCAACAGAACCGAATTCCGCTCATAGCCGGACAGGTGCTGCGATAAAAAGATTTGCTCATGAAGAAGGAAAAAGCATGATGGGCTTGTTTTGATTTACCAGTTATCACTCACATGAAGCTCCTCTGGCTGGCTTCCATATCCGGTTAGGCCGCTTTCGGGACCAGGATTGGCCTAGTGCGGTTCTTCAGCACGCAGTGGAAACCCCGGTGGAGCACCCTTGGCACCCAATTGACAATCCCTGGGGACGGAAGGTATCGCCAGACTATTTTGCTGAACAAGGGAATTTCTCATTTCCATTCCGACCATCTCTGGATGAATTCTGACTAGCAGAACTTGCCAAACGTGTCTCGGTGCTACGTGGTAAAATAACATCATTTGCAGTCTAGTCACTCGTGTCGGATTCGTCGAGATGACACACTGGTTGCGTCCTGTTCCGAGTGTTCCTTTTCTCTCTCTTTGTTCTGGAAAAAGTGTTAGTGGTCCAACCGGGACTATGTGCGCTACGGGGAGCAACCGTGATGCAATGTCCATCCCTAATAAGTCGCCGTCGCCGTTGGAAATTAAACAGAGAGGACGTGACAATGGTCACCTGCCATGCTAACATTACTAGACCACAGCACTGGCGTGGTATCCGTGCTTTGGGGATATGAGCCTTATTGAGCGCCGTGGGCCATCAATGTTCAATTTCCAGACATCGGCTATTCTTAATCTTCATCACGTTATCACCTGACGGCATGTTCCACTTTACTTCAGTTGCTTGTTTTCGAATCGACGTTAACGTTACCTCCATCTTTTTTGGCCGTTGGCCCACTCACTGCCCTCTCACCCCGCGCGCGGCGACCAGGTCGAGATTGAGAGGAGGCTCATCAGTCAACGAACACGGAAGAAGGGAAATCGCGATACTTCCAACGGCAACGTCCCTTCCTTGTCAGCTTCAGTTGGTCATTCAGTTGCCTTAGAGGTGTCTAGAGGCAGGTAATTGGCAAGTGCGCAGCAGTGCTGTATCGGGTGCCGCTGCTACCTAGTACTTCGACAACAGCCTGCCACTGCTGCACGCTGTGACTGTCCTTCCCGTCCGTCTCTGGAAACTCCATCACGACCCCCAGACAACACACCCCAGCCTGGCGTGCAGGTAGCCAGGTACCCTAGAACCAGCAAGCCAGGTACCCAGGCGACCCAGGTGTGGCAGGCCCCAAAGAGCCCCGTCGTGCCCCGTTCCCGTCGCGGTTTGCGAAAGCGCATCGAGCTCCCAACCCCGAAATCGACGCCAACAAGGGTCTGCGACAGCGGCAAAAGGCAGAAAGGGGAAAGAGGGACAAAAAAAAAGTTCAACGGCCGGGGACGAGTCGACCTGTACCTAAAACAAAAGGGATCAATCCCCCAAATCCCGTCCATCGCTCCGAATCCTGGACTGGCCGAGAGAAATACAAACCCGTCGTCACTTCAACATACCTTATCATTACCACACCAGCGCAGCCACGCTCCGAGTCCTCTCCCTCCACTATCAACCTACGACACCGAGTGACGACGCTACCTACCTACCAGCCTACCTATTTGCCTACCAAGCCTACAAGCCTACTACCTAGAACTACAACCTACAACTCGGGGCTGGGGGTGCTCCTACACTATCGTATAACACAGCCTTGCCGGGCTCCTCACTTCGGCCATTATCATCCCACTGCGGTTCGGGCTTTTACTCTTTTGGAATCGGCGGGTTTTGCTCCAGAGGGCCGAGTCGCCGACAAGTTGGCAAGTTTCTGGGGCGGAGGAGTGAGATAAACCTCGACCTGGACAAGTTGGGCTATCAGCAGGCCAAACAGCAGGGCGTAACTGAAGCTCTCATCACCTACCTATAGCGCTCCGGCATCATAGCGCGGAGCTGGAGCCCAAACCCGACATCTATTACACGGTCTTGAAGTACCTACGCCTTTTTCTGCGGCCTACAAGGACCAGGACACACCCGAGTCTGCAATTCGCCAGTTTCTTGCATTTTCCCCAAATCCCTCCAGCTGCATCTCAACCCTCACACAGACGACCAGGACCCTTTGTAGCAACTTCACCGTCCAATTTCATTCTTGTAGGTACCCGGCAACCGAAAGGTACCTTGCTGCGGAGAGAATCCCGTAGCCCAGTCATTCGGTCACTTACACCAACCTAGGTACCTCGACATAGAGTCATCGAGCCGTTAGCCTCGGGGTTCCACTTACACCCAGATCCCACCACTACCACCGACACCCACCTGAACCACCCAACCCGGTGGACAATTCATACAAAAGACGGGAGGCCCGATAACAAACTACCAGCTAGCCGCGGGTACCTGAATTGCCCTTGTCCATATCAACCGTTGGACGTAGACGTGGCCGTGATCGTGGGCATGCAAGTGGCAGTCAAGACGCTCCAGGATCCGCAGCGCTGACCCGACGCAACCGCAAGTGCATCACCTGGGCAGAAAAAGATCCCAGGACCGGCATCACCCCGTGGGACCGCCCGTGGACCAGGCCCGGAGGAAAACCAACCCGCACTACCAAGTACAGAGGTACCAGCAATCATGTCCTCCAGAAACTCCCACTCGCATTTTTACTCCTCCCCTCCTCCCCTCTCCTCCTCCTCCTTCCAGGAGGCTCCCTATACACAAGGCGACGGTGGTGCGCCTCGGAAAGACGCAGCAGCTGCTGTAGCTGCCGCAGGCTTGCTTAACGAGTACAATGCCCACCAAAACTCGGCCCTCAACCTCGACTCTCCACCGTCGCCCAAAGTGACCTCTGCCGAGACTCCGGCCGGATCTACATCCGTCTCAACACCGAAGCGGGTTCGCGCCGGCACCCTTAGCAGCAACTTTGATCAAATCCAGTTTCGGTCTCATACAATAGCTCCTTCACCTACCCTGCCGCGGTTTACATCTGATTCCGCCCCCCCGAGACCTGCTGCGACTGTGGACAACAACCTTCACTCGTCCCCGCGAGGTCGCCAGAACCTGAACAGTCCGGCTGGTCATAGTTTACGGCTGCAAACCGAGATAAATCCCATAGTGAACCCATTCACCACGGCAACCGGCGACAGCTCAAACTTTGGAACCTTGAGTTCTTCGCCGACACCTATAAGATCCTCTCGTCCTTCTTTGACCTTGCACCACAAGTCTTCCGCCTCTTCCCTCAGACCAATTTCTCGAACACCAAGTCTGAGAGCCGGCAGTCTTCCGAATCCCTTCAGCCCTATCTCGGGAACGAGCACTTGTTACCCCAGTCCGGTCATATCGGCCATGGGCGATGTCACACCTTTGCCATCACCTCTACTACCCAGTGATTCACCAGGTCCGTGGAAGAAATTAGGATATCAACAAGCCCGCGACACGATACCAGAATCCCACCCCGTCGAAAACGGACCTTTCTCCAACACCGAGAGATCAAGTCCCACCCCAACCATGGTCCTCCCTAAGAAAAAGTCATATGCCGGGCTCGACTCCGGTCGTAGCGGAGCGACGAACGACACCGAGCATTTGCGCACACAGACAACATCAGCCTCGCATTCACGAAACCGGAGTATTAGTGAATACATTCCGGATCCGATGCATATTCCGAAGCGGATGTCGACCATCTCGGGAACCCGTGTCCGGCCCGAGCTGAAAAACGTGGAACCGGGATATGACGGCCACATGCGCCGGGAGCCCCACTTGTCCGGAGCGCGGGGTCTGGCGCCCCCCATTGAGAAGCCGCCGACACCCCCACCTAGCGAAGCTTCCCTGAGCGCCAACGACGTCTCATCACTTGCCGCTTTCGGAACCAACAAAGAATCCCATCACGAATATTTCGAGGCTTATGGAAATCACGACCGGAAGTTGCGCCGCTGGCGCGCCATCAAGATGTTGGGTCAGGGCACCTTTAGCAGAGTCATGCTCGCCACAAGTCAAATATCCCCGTCGGACGATGAGGACTGCTCGCCCGGCACCGACATGCATACCCCCGAGCCGACATATCATCACGACCGCCGCTCTCTTGTTGCCGTCAAGGTTTGTGAGCATGGTCCCCGTGGAGGTGCTTCGGAGGACAGGATCGAGATGAGCTTGAAACGAGAACTGGAGCTCATGAGGGTTTTGCACCATCCTTCTTTGGTTCAGCTCAAGGCCTGGAATATTGAGATGACGCGGGCCATCCTGGTGTTGAGTTACTGCCCCGGTGGAGACCTTTTCGACATTGCCAGCCGTCATCGCGACATTTTGAGCCCGGCACTCACACGCCGCATCTTTTCCGAGGTGGTCGATGCAGTCAGCTATCTTCATTCGGAAAAGATTGTGCACAGGGACATCAAACTAGAGAGTGAGTTGACTTCCGATTGCGTCATTTTGCCTATATCTAATCACATATCACAGATGTCCTTGTCAATCTTGCACCCAAGGAGCTCAGCACACCCACCGATTGGGCGACCTACCCTTACTCAGTCATCACGCTCACCGATCTCGGTCTCTCTCGCCGTGTCGCCGACGACGAGAAGCTCGAGACAAGATGCGGTTCGGACGACTACGCCGCCCCCGAAGTCATCATGGGCCAACCATATGACGGCCGCGCTACTGACGCCTGGTCACTGGGTGTCCTTCTCTACGCGCTTCTCGAAGGCAGGCTCCCCTTTGACCCGCCCCCCGGAGCCGGCGATTATGCCATGCAGATGCGTATGAGGAGTCGGACTAGTCATCGGATTGCCCGTGTCGAGTGGCGTTGGATCGAATACGGCGTTCCCAACGGCGTGGACGGTGAGGGCAAGCACGAGGCGGATCCCGCAAAGTTCAGCGCCAAGGGCCTGCAGGGCGCCAGGGACGTGGTCGAGGGCCTACTGAGGCGGGCGAGAACCAGATGGCCGCTCACCCAGGCTGCCGCTACCGAATGGGTTAGCGGTGGCATTCAGGTCGAGGGAGGAATCCGGCTTAGGGAGGAGGATGATGGAGAGGAGGTCTCCCAATGATTTTTCAACGCCATGAGGAGGTGTATCGCATATTTGGGAAGGGGTTTTCTTTTGTTGAACAAACTCTCGAGGGCTGAGTTTCTAGCCTCTCACTTCATTTGCTTGTCTTTTTAGCCTTGGCGGTTCTTGATTCTTCTTCTACTTCTACGACCACCACAACAACCCATTTTGCTTGTTCTTTATTAATGATGAGATAACGAAAAGGGGTTTGGTGGAATTTGATCGGTTTCGTCTGCGGATAGGCGGGGTTGGTTGGTCGTTACACTGGAACGGACACAAGGTTAGCATTTGGCTTTTTCATAACTGCTACAACGGGTAGTGGTTCATACAGGGAGGTTGGCGGACGATATGAATGGCAGAAGAGTGAGAAGTAGTGTCGGAAAGGTGGTGACTTGACTTTTTGCACCAAGTCACAACACACAGGGAAAACTGCAGCGTATTTCGCTCTATCGGATCGGACATAGACGGGATTTTTGAAAGTAGATTCCCATATCGTTTTTACAACTGTCAGATTACTACATGGAGAAGACCTCCACGTATTATAAGCGGATTGCATCAGCGGAAAATGAATGAGAACTGCTTATAACTTGTACTCGATTGTCTTCAAATCTAAAATGAATCATGATGCTATAGTATGGATATGGAAAGATGGGGTTGCATAGAAAGGAAGTCAACACCTTGACCATTCTATACAAATTGTGTACTTGACTCAAAAAGGCCAACTCTACACAGTGACAGGTTGAACGGAATGAAAAACAAGAGTAAAGGACGTTCGCGAGTCAATTCTGACCGTCGCTCTCATGAAGTATGCAGGATATCCATCATTGCTAGATCATTGTCAACGATCTGAACATTTGCCCTGAACAAGCCACCAGAACCGGTTCCAGTGCACATTAAGGGAACAAACAATGAAATTGACTTCAATTCTAAACTAAATAATGATTGCCACCATTCAAGCCACAAACAACTCTCAAAGCTGAACCGGATAGACTAACTCATGACAGCTGGATAGGTATACATAGAAACAATCAAACATCATCCGCAAAAACAAGAAAAAAGGTACAAGAGAAACAAAAGACAAGAAAACAATATAAAACAAAGCAAAGTGAGAATTAAGCAAGAAAGGAATGAGGAAGGGAGCAAGGAGAGTGAATGGATGGATGTAAGTAAAAGCAAAAAAAAACTCAAAAGTTGAAAGTCGACCATCCTGGGACTCGAACCCAGAGCCTTTACCACCGGAAAGTAACGCGCTACCGTTGCGCCAAACGGCCATTGTTGAGTAAATGGTTGGAAACTAGTAAATATGTAGTATAGTAAGCAGGTGGAAGTGGAAAGTGTGTGTGTGTAAGTTGAGTTGTCAGCGACTATCACCACCATTACTATGCACCACCAGTAACAACAGATGTGCATATTACTTGCAAAGCACTTCGTCTTGAATGTTGTATGAGGTGAAAGGATATTCCAATTCCGCCACGGTTGATCTACACCTAGACTTACAGGTCAAGATAACCACAACGACAAGGATGACAGTACACACAGTATACACATGTAGCAGGCAGAGAGAGGATGCTCCGGAGGTCTTCACAGGCAGTCACACACTCTTATTGCAACCTCTACTTCTCAAGTTCACAAAGTTCACCTAATCTCCCAGCAACTCCACAGAAAGTGATGTGCACTACAACACCACCGTGATGCACCGATGTTTCATCCACTTGATCATTATCATCATCAATACCCTACTCATTGAGCATAGATACACATAGATAGCTGTTTTTCAAACCAGAGGTTGGACTACCGCCCCAGGCTCCTTCTCTCCCTTATGAATTTTGCGGCTCACTTGCTTTCACCCCGTTGCCCGTCCTCTTCCCCATTCCCATTACCCCATCACAGTAACAGGGCTTCTGCCTGGTCTTTTGTGTTCTCGAGTTCTGGCTTCAAGCTAGACCGCACAAAATCCACCTTAAGTAGTTGCATTAGCATCCTCCCGCTTCTTCTTGCTGCTTCGAAAGAGTTTTGTTGATCACCCCGCATCCAGGTTCTTCCCCTTCCGTCTCTTCCATCTCTTCCCTTCTCACGCTTCAGGGTAACCGGGGTAATTATACACTCTACAACCGTTCACCACATCGTGAGTGGATTAAAAGATGTTGGAAGGGACAGCGCAACGTTAAGAGGCGAAGTAATAACGTTCACTTCAGCGACGGATCGAGCTTCACGAACCTCATGTCACATATTCATAAAAGTAGAAAGTAGCTTGTTCTTATCCATTGCATTCATGCTCTACCTGAAGACCAGGCCAAACCATATGTTGTCGTAGACTAAAGTACAGAGCCGGGGAATCTGAAAATTATGGAAAAGGCAAAGATGCAGAAGGGGTAACAAAATGCCCGTCAGAAAAACGAAAACCCAAACTCCGTCCCATAACCTTTTTCATTAAACTTTTGTAGTCATGAAATCGTTTAGTCAACCTCCTCCATGGCGGAGTCACCAGTCTCGGCGGCGGGAGTACCCTCAGCGGCAGCAGGGGCATCGGCAGCAGCCTCAGGCTCCTCATCGAGGTTGAGGCCGAGGGAGACGAGCTTGTGGATGCGCTCGGCGAAACCAGCGGGCTCGTCGATGGTGAAGCCGGAGACGAGAAGAGAGGTCTCGTAGAGGAGCTGGACGATGGACTTGACAGTCTTGTCGTTCTCACCGTCAGCCTCAACCTTCTTCTTGAGCTCCTTGATGATGGGGCTCTTGGGGGAGATCTCGAAGGTCTTCTTGGAAGACATGTAGCTGGACATGGAGGTGTCACGGAGGGCCTGGGCCTTCATGATACGCTCCATATTGGCGGACCAACCGAACTGGCCAGTGCGGATGGCGCAAGGAGAGCCGACGAGCTTGTGGGAGACGACGACCTTCTCAACCTTGTCGCCGAGAACGTTCTTGAGAGCCTTGGCAAGACCATCGAACTCCTTCTCCTCCTCCTCACGCTGCTTCTTCTCCTCCTCGGTCTCCTCGAGCTCGAAGTCCTTGGTGATATCAACAAGCTTCTTGCCCTCGAACTCCTTGAGCTGAGTCATGGCGTACTCATCAATGGGGTCAACAAGGAAGAGAACCTCGAAGCCCTTCTCCTTGAGGGAGTCAAGGAAGGGAGACTTGGAGACAGCCTTGATGGACTCGCCAGTGATGTAGTACATGTTCTTCTGGTGCTCGGGCATGCGAGCAACGTAGTCGGAGAGAGAGGTCATCTCGTCACCAGACTTGGTGGAGTTGAAGCGGAGGAGCTTGGCAAGGATGTTGCGGTTCTGGGCATCCTCGTGGATACCGAGCTTGATGTTCTTGGAGAAGGCAGTGTAGAACTTGTCGAAGTTCTCCTTGTCCTCAGCAATCTCGTTGAAGAGCTCAAGAGACTTCTTGACGATGTTCTTCTTGATGACCTTCATGATCTTGTTCTGCTGGAGAGTCTCACGAGACAGGTTGAGAGGGAGATCCTCAGAGTCGACAACACCCTTGACGAAGCTGAGCCACTCGGGGACGAGGTCGGTGGCATCGTCGGTGATGAAGACGCGGCGGACGTAGAGCTTGATGTTGTTCTTGGTCTTCTTGGTCTCGAAGAGGTCGAAGGGAGCGCGCTTGGGAACGAAGAGGATGGCGCGGAACTCGAGCTGACCCTCAACGGAGAAGTGCTTGACACCGAGGTGGTCCTCCCAGTCGTTGGAGAGCGACTTGTAGAAGGCAGCATACTCCTCCTGGGTGATGTCCTGGGGGTTGCGAGTCCAGATGGGCTTCTGCTTGTTGAGCTCCTCCTCCTCGATGGTGGTCTCCTTGACCTTCTTGGTCTTCTTCTCCTTCTTCTTTTCCTCCTCCTCATCATCGACCTCCTCAATCTTGGGCTTCTTGTCATCCTCCTCGGTGACCTCCTTGGCCTCCTCCTCAGCATCCTCATCAGGAACCTCCTTCTCGGTCTCCTTCTGGACGTGGAGGTAGATGGGGTAGGAGATGAACTCGGAGTGCTTCTTGATGACCTCCTTGATCTTGCTCTCGTTGAGGTAGTCAAGCTGCTCATCCTTGAGGTGGAGGATCATCTTGGTACCGCGGCCAAGGGGCTCGCCCTCGGTGTCGGGGATGATTTGAAGGTGCCACCAGCAGAAGACTCCCAGATGTACTGCTCGTCATCATTGTGCTTGGAGATGACGGTGACCTTGTCGGCAACAAGGTAGGCAGAGTAGAAACCAACACCGAACTGACCGATCATGGAGATATCGGCACCAGCGGTCAGGGCCTCCATGAACTGCTTGGTACCGGAGCGGGCAATAGTACCGAGGTTGTTGACGAGGTCCTAGGTGTAACAAGTCAGCATATTGCCACTTTCGCTCAAAACTGATGCGAGGCAAAACTTACAGCCTTGGTCATACCGATACCGGTATCGCGGATGGTGAGGGTCTTGTTCTCCTTGTTGGGGATGATGTCGATGCGGAGATCCTTGCCGGAGTCCAGCTTGCTGGGGTCCGACAGGGACTCATAGCGGATCTTGTCGAGAGCATCGGAAGCGTTGGAGACAAGCTCACGAAGGAAGATCTCCTTGTTGGAGTAGACAGTGTTGATGATGAGGGAGAGAAGCTGAGAGATCTCAGCCTGGAACTCGAAGGTCTCGGGGGCCGACATGATGGGCAGATTTGATGGTGAAATGTGTGGGTATCTAAGCGGGGTCTATTAGCGCCACGTCCTGTGGAAGTGCTGCAAATTTGGCGTTGGGATATGTACACGATGGTTTATCTGCGATCGAAGAGGGCGGAAGGACAACTGAAAGTTGTTGTTCTTTATGAAATGGTGACGAAGGGGAACGAGGGAAGGGGTGTTAAGGCAAGGCTGAAGCGGGGGAGGGGAGGGGCAGTGAATGGTGACTCGTAACCTCCCGTTCGAGATAGGCACTGGGCAGCGGGTGAACCTACCAAGAAAAGAAAAAGCGCTATTGTTCTGCTCCTCCAAAAAAAGAGAGGATACTGCTGCAGGCAAGATTCGAGAGAGGAAAGAAGAAAGTTGAGATTGGATTGGGAAAACTGAGGAATGAAGGGAAGAGCGAGAGAGGAAGTGGGCAGCAGTGGCATCTAAAATGTTCTTTGCGGCGGCCCCTGGGTCCCTGGCTGTTGCCAGCAACAGAATTCGATGAGATTCTATCGTTCAGAATTCCACGGCCTTCCTCTGATTCGTTTGCGGCCGTTGCTTGCTATCCCCACTTGACTCAAATTACACATCTGATTGGCTGCTGGCCCGCAGGCAGAGGCGCGTCTTGGCTTCCTTGCGCTTCTCTCAAAGAGGCTGCAGGAGCTACCCCAGTCCAAACCGCTCCGCTGAGGGGCAGGAGGGGCCATTCATCTGCGTTTCTCTCAGCTGTTGCTCCCCTATCGTCCCAATTGCCCCTTGCCAGCATTGGGACTGAAATGACTACAGAAATTGCACCGTGATTCTGGATCTCCAAAGAAAGCTGGAGGCGAGTCGAGATGGCAGGCGTACACTAGAACATCGGTTCAACCCCAATCATATGGTTCAGGAGGGGCACCTACATCTGGAGCCTTCTCTGTTCGGTCAAACATGATCTTCGGACGCCTCTTCCATCCCCCGATTGGGCAGCCAATGGGCAGAACGATCCAGAATGATCGAGGCCCCTGCAGTCACCGCAAGGCTGAATGACGGGAGCTCAGGCAACCCCACGATCAAGAACATGCCCTCGGTGCTGCTCGTGCTAACGTCCCGACCCGTTGTCCACGATTGACCAGCCACCTAGAACTGGGGACTCGAGTTTGAGATTCTGCCTGTTTCAAGAAGCCTCCGTGACTGCGGTTCGCGGCACTAGTGTTTACATATGGGGAAGTTCATCGGATCCTGCAAGGTCTCGACCGCTGCCATCGCGGCCCGGTACATGTATGATGGAGTTTGGTGTTCGTCTCTTTTCGACTTCGTATGATCGTATCAACTTATCAAACCCTCTTCAATCCACAGACGATTCTCGTCAACTTCGATGGACTTGGCAGAGAAGCCTTGCCGAGCCCAGCCATTTATAGATCGTTGGCGTCCTCTTTTGGCCTGGCTGTCTCTTCAGCTCGAGTTCCCATAACCTTGCTTGGAACCTCAGTCCTTTTACAAGTCAAGTCAAGTGTGGGAGGCTTCGACCGGGACGTTCGAGTCCTCATGTCCATTTGGCGTGCTCGACGTTGGACGTTTCCTTGTCTGGGTTTGTTGTTTTCATTTCTTCGGAACCTTCCAAAAACCAGCCAAAGCTTGTCGTGAATCGCCATATGTTACGACAAGACGCCAGGGGATCATCGCTTGCGCCCTAAGGATGAAGAGGTTACTCGGTCTTTGATATGAAGTTGACTCAACACCTCTACCCGCCTACAGGTTGGCCAGAACCGGTCATCAAAGCCAACCTCACACCCACGGGTATATACCTCGATCAGAGGTCACTGATGTGTATGGCCCGAGCAAGAAAGCTCAACTTACGGAAAGGTCTGGGAACATCATCCGTACTACCTCGCCATTCAACAACCCGTTCTTATAACACATCAGCACGGCTTTTTTTGATTGACCAAAGAACAAGTCGAGCCTCAAGTCGTTGGATCGTTCGAATATCATCCGAGAAGCGTTGTCATTCGGGTCTGTTGTTTACATGACACCAACGTGCAAGCACCATGCAGGTTGAATGGATGAAAAGACGGGAGGCGAGCCCTGCAACAGCGGCCCTGACAAGTTACCGCCAAGAAGAACCCTTGCTCCTCTGCCCCTCCATGTTCGTGACGTGCTTCCGGGCTGGCAGCGCAGGCACACGGGCGTAACAGCTGCAGCATTGACCCCAAGGCGACAGGCGCGCTTGCAGGCGGACAGGGCTTTGAGATCATCCTGAGCTGTTGATGATATAATTCTCCAGTCTCTTGCACCGGATTAACGGTTCAGTCGGTGCCGGCCATGGTACTAAGGTAAAAGCAGAAGCTTCAATGTGTGAACCAGGAGTCCAAGACAGTCCGGCTAGGAGCTCCGTGCGTGGGGCTTCAGCCCACACAAGCATCCCGTTCATGAGAGGTTTATTGATGATACCTAGTACATAGAGACTCGGCAACAGATCAAGGTCAGAAAAGAGCGCTGTTGGTTCACTCTCCAGCAGTTTGCTTCCGCACAAACCTGCCGGCCTGGGGTGTGCTTTCTGAATTCGACATCGACCCTAGTGATCTCCCTGTACAAATCCCCTCATTCCCCTGCCGTTCCCAAGCAACCAAGTTGGAAGGCTCACTGCAGGATTGCTTTGCCTCTTGCCCTCCTTGGAGTCCTTGCTCGTTTCTGCCCCTCTCTTTCGTCCCTTCCACTCAACTGGTTCACCAATCTAATTACGCCATGAACGGCATAAAGCTTGCGCCCCACCGCCTCAGGGCCGTCGCTCCTCGTCTCTCTACCCTCGCCCGCCCCTCGTTCCTCTTTTGTGTTCCCAAGTCTCTGAACTCTCTCCCGTACACCACTCCCCAAACCAACCAAAAACACAACTTCACCACCACATCCAGCAAAATGACTATTCCCCAGCTTGAAGGTCTCCAGATCGAGGTCCAGCAGGAGGGCCAGGGCAACCGTGAGACCCGCCGTGGTAAGTGTACCTCAAGCTGAGGTGTACCTGGAGCTAGTCCTAGCTCTGGAGTGCAATTTTCAGCTTCTTCCTCTTCGCCCCGCCCGAACTTGAGCTTCATCGCATCGCATATCGTTTACTGCGAGCGCCTTGCTCTCAGCTCCAGACATGCACTGCGCAAACCAGCAAGCGAACTTCCTAGGTGTGAAGCACACATGCTGATTCAATTTCTCCCTTGATCCAGGCGACAACGTTGACGTCCACTACAAGGGTGTCCTCACCAACGGCAAGAAGTTCGATGCCAGCTACGACCGTGGCGAGCCCCTCAACTTCACCGTTGGCCAGGGCCAGGTCATCAAGGGCTGGGATGAGGGTCTCCTCGGCATGAAGATTGGTGAGAAGCGCAAGCTCACCATCGCCCCCCACCTTGCCTACGGCAACCGCGCTGTCGGTGGCATCATCCCCGCCAACTCTACCCTCATCTTTGAGACCGAGCTCGTCGGTATCAAGGGTGTCCAGAAGGGCGAGTAAATGTATTCCTCAAGAAAGCGTTTATGACCCTTGGATAGGCGGATTAGCGGAGGAAAGGACGGTCATTTTCGGCGTTTATGTGTCACTTACCGGTGCCGACACGCCCTAAGCGCTTCTTGAGCTGCGATAGGAGCTGGACAGATACCTTTTGATGGCGATATTTATGGAGGAAATGTTTCGCATATAACAGACCCCATTGGCTGCTTGCCTCTTTGCTTGCGATTCTTCGAGTGACCCTTGTGATGAGTACAGGCCGATCAGCTGCATTGGCGCACATATGGGCTTGCGCTCGTTTGGTTAAGAGTTTGTCGTTTCGGGAAGTGTACTAATCCTACTACTAGTCGTCCTCACGGGCCCGTCTTCGTGAGTACTCCTGACTGGACCATGCACCGGCACTATACAGCTCCCCAACTGTCTATACCTCCTGTCCGCATACACCAGTCCAAACTGGTATGGGTCTATATCCCTTCCCTCGGAGTTATCCAGGTCAACAGGATCCAATGAGTTCACCTCTTCCCCTTCTTCTGTCCCGCCCCTAACACCAAGCCCCTCAACGATCTCCTCGACCTCTCCCAGCACGATAACGTGATCCCCGACGGGGATAAAGCCCTCCATAGGCTCCTCTAATACCCTGCATCGCATGACATAGAGCACTCCATCCCCGTCCAGCAGAGGCGCCTCCCCATCGTCCCTACGCATATCCAGATCCTCATGGTTGGCGACCACACACCCGCATTCACTCTCCAGTCCTTTGAACACCCTTTCTGGTCCTTCACTGTTCCCCCTGGTCATCCAGTCCGCAATCGCCGCGCCCGCAATATCATCCGTAAGGATGTGGATATTAAACCGCCTGCTGGCGCGCAATGCGTCCAACGTTCGGGACGGATGAGTGATGTTGAAGCTCACAATGGGCGAGGGTGAAAGGCCCAGGCATGTGAGGGAGGACATAGTCATGCCGCGCATGGTCGGCTTATGCGGCTTGTGGGAGTGCGAGGTATGGGCATGCGCATGCGTATCGGTAGAGGTGCATACTACGACCGAATGCGGGAAGAGGCGCATAAGGGAACGGGTTCGTTCGGCGATTAGGGAAAGTTTCTTATGAGTGTGCCCGGGTGGGTGGTTCGGTCGGTGTGGGGGAGATGGTGGCTTGGGGTCGGTAATTGTCCAACTTCGAGCATGGGAGGGTGTGGTATGGATGGTTCGAAGAGCTGTTGTAGGTCAACAAGTTAGTTTAATCTTTCTTGTCTTCTAAAGTACGGATGACATGTGTCGTCCCATATCAAGAGTGACTTCGGATAATTCATAAGTGCTTACAGAGGTGACATGTTCTGGCGTGCTGTCCAGCAGCAACTCGCCGTTGCGCCGCCGCCGTCCCGATTAACGGCCGCGTGGATGACGATGACGGCTTCAGTGGCGACCGCACCGGGCAGATGCCATTGTGATTGCAAATATGCGCTTGCTCGGCAGCGAAGCCAAAAACCCGGCGACTGTTCATCTCAGGCCCATTGAGCGGCTTTGTAGAAGACCAATTGAAAAGATTGACAGTCAATGGAAGATTGTCGACGTTGTTGACAAGAGAACGAATACAAAAGTTCCTTTACCAACCGTTGCCATCCGACCATCTCAAGCTGTCCTCCGACGGCACTAAAATTGAGCTCTGGCATTGACGCACTGCAGCGGGCATGGGCCCCTGGACACCGGGCCTGACAGGCTCGCTTCAGGGCAGCTGCGCTTAACAAGCAAGATCTTATCTTATCGTGCATCGGCCCCGCCCGGTGCTGCCGCGGTGTTTTCCCTTCCAAAGAGCTTGCTTCGTTCCTTCCCCGGACTTCCAGGTACATTACCCATACTTTATGCCTGCCGCCGATAACGATAGCGCTTGTTGGGCAAATAGCCCGCCGTAACAATTTTTGTCTCGCGGTCGATCCACCCGCCCCGGTCCCGCGACCAGCAGCGCTTGAGCCAGACGAGACCAGACCCGACACCACCACCCGAGTCCGAGTCCCCGCGGCGCGAATCTCGAAATTCCGCTTCCCACGCCCCGGCCGCCGTCCAACCCTTCCGAACCGACCCCCGAAACGAACCGTATTCTCTCTGTCCGCGCGGTTCGCCCACCAGCATCACCACCACACGACGCCTGATTAACGTCACTGGCGCCAACGACGACGGTCCATAGTCCTCTATACCACACCAACGAACCGAGATATACCCATCGCATCCCCATAATATCCAAACAACAAAACTACCGGCGCCAAAATGTCATCAACAAGACTCCCCACCACCCTCCTCCGCCGCCCTTCGGCCCTCCCCTCCACCACCACATACACCGCCTACTCTGCCTCTCGCCCAACACCATGCGTCCAACAACAAACCCGTAACGCGACCTTCGTCCCCCGCCACCGCCGCCCCTACCAATTCACCCAGCTGGTGCAGCTCTCCGACGGCAGCACCTTCACTGTTCGCACGACGATGCCCACGGCGCTTTACAAGTCCGCCAAGGACAGCCGCAACCATCTGCTCTGGCAACCCAGCGACAAGTCGCTCAAGAACGTGGAGATGGACGAGGCCGGCAAGCTGGCCGCCTTCCGCGAGAGATACGGTCGCGGGTGGGACCTGGACGCCAAGATGACGCCCGAGGAGGAGGCGGCCGCCGCGCTGGCTGCTGCTGCCGCGGCTGGCGATGCCGGCGCCGTCAAGGCGGCCAAGAAGGCGGCTGCTGATGCGGTGGCGGAGGCCAAGAAGAAGGCTCAGGAGGAGGAGGCCGCCGCTAAGGCTAATGCTCAGGAGGAGGAGGCTGATCCTTTCGACTCGTTGACGGATCTGATTAGTGGGTATGCGACGGAGAACATGAACCCGGGGTTGAATGTCAAGGATACCCGTCCTAGAAGGAAGTAAAATGGGTCGTGGTCGTGTTATGATGGGAGGCGATGGGGTGGTGTGAAGCTCGTCGGGCGGCTTTGAGGTTGTCTCAGGAGTAACGGATTCGAAGAAACCCGGAGGCTGTCAACGAATTCTCTGGCCGTTTGAACGGGTGATGTTTTACTCTCCATTTCTTCTGACTGACCCCTGGGATGGCTCCTCCGTCTTGTATCATTATGTCGACCGGTCACCCGTGGAGGACAAGAGGAAGCTTGCCTGGCCGTTGCTGCTGTTTGATGGCTTGGAAGGGCATTGTACCATCAGTTCCGCGCCATCAGAAATGCGGAAAAAGTAGCCCTGTACATATAGAGATGGAATGGGATGGGGAACGGAAAAGATGTGCGGTGGTTACGTTTAGAAAGTGTACAAGTATATGGATATAAGGATTGTAAAAGTGAATATTTCAGCGTGCCCACCTCGTTTTGATCTCATCTGCTCGCGCTAGCAACTATACGTTATGTACAATACAGTCGACCATCCCTATCATGAACCGTGCAAGCTGCTTGAAGAACTCCTACGTAAAAACCATCGCAACCGCTCTCTAAAGCCATCATGATTATATCTGTATTCATGTGCTAAGGCGGACACACGTGCTGCTGCTATCTCCTAGACATCCTGTCTTACTGATATCCCCTACGACAGGAGGTTTCCTTCTCCTTCAATGCCTTTCACCATTCTCCCAAGCGCGGCGCCCGGACCAGGAGTATATGTATTTTCTGTGTCTGTGGCCGTCTGTGGGACTGTTTTAGCCTCGCCCTTCCCCAAAACCTAAAACCACGACCACGCATTATCCTGCTTCTTATAATCTGGAACCTTCTTTGCGGGTGCTTGATTCGTGCGGTCATTTAGGTTCGAAGATGACGAAGTGGTCCTCGCCGACTGATAATCTCCCACAAGACCACGATCCTAATCGGAGTCGTCATCGATCCTCGCCCGAGCTCGATCCACCGCCGTGTCACCGGCCGGCTTGTTCGCCTGGACGACCGGAGGACGATAGAAGACGGTCTCGTCGTCCTCGGCATCCAGCTGCATGAGGAAGGTCTCCCACTTCTCGATCAACTGTTAGGAATTGTTAGTAAGGGGTTTACGTCTCTTATAGTGTTACTGGGGGAAACATACTTCCTTCTGAGCCTCAACGGCACTTTCCAAGAAGGTCTCAACACCCGACTTGAAGTCCTCAACCTTCTCCCTCTCGAACCTGTCCAGCTCAGCGCGCATCAGACGGCCCATGTCCTCAAACAACAAGCGCGCCTGATGCACCTTGCGCTCAGCATCCGCCACCTCGGCATTCACTTGGTTCAAGCGGTCCTGCTGACTCTTGCCCTGCCTCAACAGCTTGTCCTGGCTAGTCTTCCGCTTCTGCAGCTCTGACTCGGCGCTGTGCCAGCTATAGAATGCCTTCTGGCGCTGCGTGAAAGCCTGCTTGACACTGCCGATGAGACGGATGTACTCCTCGATGATGATACCAAACGTGAGCACATCCTGCTGAGCCTGACGGTCATACACATCCCTAATGGTAAGCTGGAGCTCTGAAAGCGCGTCGAGAGGGCCGGAGAGAGTGGGTGACAGCTCCACGGTTGAGAGAGCATGCAGAGAGGCCGAAAACTCGCCAGCAGCCTCCGCCATCGCCTTACGCTGCGCAACCATGCTGTCCATGGCCTTCAGAAGCCCCTTGAGCTGGTTCTCGAGAGCATCAAGGTAGACTCTGCGATCATGGAACCACTACAATCAATTGTCGTTAGCATTGTTTCCCAACAAACCACCCCTGATCAAGACACAACTCACATCATCCTGCTCCACAAACTTGTTCCCACTGCCGACACTGATACCAAACGTGCTCAACACGCCCTTGCTCTCGCCCAGGTTCGGCTCCTTGCGCTCCTTGTGCTTGACGTCGATGTTGAAGGCCTCGCTCTCCAGGAACAGCTTGAGATCGGCGTCGTGCTGCAACGTCGGATGGGCGGCCGTCTTGTTGAGCATCTTCTCCAGGGCGGCGCGCCGCGCCTCGACAAAGTTGCTCTCGAACCGGCCCACCGCCTGCTTCTCCGGAGGGGGAGGCACCACCACGCCCGGGTTGTTGGCGTGTAGCGTGTTGTAGAGCCATAGGAAGTCGCGGTACCGCCGCTTGACCTCGAATTCGGGCTGCTTGTAGGCTTTTGATGTCGTCTGTCGGTGGTGACCTTGTAGTTAGCATATCTGTACTCATCAAAGAAGATAAAGGGGGGACATTCGAGTAATAAGACGGTTCCGTTACATACCTTTGTCCTCACAGAGTATACTATATGACTGCTAGTCAGATCGCCAACTTTATGGGGATCGCCGACATAGATGTGGAACGTCGGGTTCGCCGCCTGCTCTATACTGACGCTGGGCTGCATCGACGTGCGCACCGAGCTGTTTGGCTGGGCAGGCGGTACGGGCGGTGGCTGTCTTGGCCCGCTCGGGGTATCATTGTATAGCTCCTCCTCTTCGATGATGCGGTGCGGGTCTCCGGGCCTCCTGGCGCCGCCTCCGCTGCCGATTTGGTTCGAGCCCCCAGACAATGTCGTCCTCAAAGGTAGCTGCTCCTTGAGAGGCGGCTGAGGGGGCGCAAGCGGGGTGTCAGTGGCCGCAGGGGTGCTGGCACCTAGAGGACCAAGCGGATCGTCCTCGACGGCCTCGAGACGGGTTGGTTGGGCAACCAGGCGACGGGGTGTCAGGCGCGAGGGTCGGCTGCTGCTGCTCGTGTTGTTGGTCGACGGCGTCAGGGTTGACGATGTACCGGACGGGGCGGTGGTGGTGTTGCTGCCGGGCGCCGTGTCATCGGACTGGGGAACTGTGTTGGAGCTGTTGTTGCTCTCGCCGCCGATGGCGCTGTCGGCCCAGGGATCCTCCATTGCGTAGCTCCTGCTTGTGGGACTCTCAATCGAAAAATGGAACCAAGGAACTGACACGATAAGAAAACGAATAGTATCACCAGCAATGGTTTGGAGGCCGGTCGTAATGAAGCTTCGAGGAGCGTATAGGTTGAGAGTATGGACGGCGAGTGGACTGTTGGAACGGGCGGGAACCTTGGAGTGCGAGCGCTATCCTGGTCGCCTAAGCAGGTGCATCGTCAGCGGCCAAGCTCCCCGTCCCCTCGCCCAAAGCAGCTGCGGGACGCTCGGGCCAATTGACGTCGTTTCACCAGCTGCTGGTAACAGCGGGTGAAGCTATCCAAATAGGGGCGGACCAATATATCCTTGACTTTTACGGTAGAACATTGGTATAATGGAAATGCTGGTGTTCGTTGTTCTTGTTATTTCTATGCTTCATCAAACCCTATTCTCGGCTTGGAAGGTTCCACTGATACGATGGTTCCCATACCTATGGACTCCTTTAGCATACTCTGCAACTACTTGTTAATCCTGATGAACCGGAAACTCCTGGATCGCCAACTCCTTTCTCAAAATATTGTATGCGGCCCTCTTCAACCGTCATTGATTGTGACCTAAACACCCTACTTCATGTTGGCAAGCATGCCATCCATCACCTGCTTTCCTACCCATCCCCTGAGTCCCGATAAGGATCGCTAGTCCCGAACCTCCTAACGCTCAGGATCATAGCATCCGCCAGCAACCACCAGGTTCATTCTAGTGAACTGCACCTTCATCACAGGCGTCTTCTTGGTTGCAAAGGCGCTAATTTGATCAGGCGTGATTTGCACCTCCTTGCCCTTCTTCTTCCCTGTGACGGCACCACTGCCACCATTAGCAGCGCCGCTACCGGTGCCAGTGTTGCCAGTGGCATTGGCCGCAGTGGATGTAGCTGAAGCACCAGTGCCGCCCACGGTGATCGAGTTGCCGTTGGGACCTCCGCCAGATGCCACGGCAATGCTATCGCCAGTCGCGGCACCATCCGGCTGTTGACCAGATGCGCCTCCCGCAACCGCCGCACCGCTGCTTGTGATAGCAAGCTGGCTGCTCTTGCTGGGATCGGCCGGCAACTCCACATCCCAGAGCCTCACCGTGCCATCCAAGCCTCCGGAAACGAGCACGTTCGACTCGGCACTAAAGCTGAGTGACGGGATTCCGCCCTTGCCGTGGCCGCGGCACCGTTTGATACGCGCGCCCTTGGCAATGTCCCAGAAGAAGATGTTTCCACCCGTGTCGGCACTGGCGAGGATCTTTCCGTTTGGCGCGCATTGCAACGCGCTGATGTAGTCTGTGTGGCCCGTGAAGATGCGCACGCAGTTGCCCGTCACTATCGACCACATACGAATGGACTTGTCGGTATCATCTGATGCAGAGAAGACGTACGTTCCGTTCGGGTGCCAGGTGATTGCCGAGATGGGCGTATCGTGCCCAACCATAATTCGTAGCGCAGAGGCTCTGTCTTGCGCGAATACGCGGACGGTCTTGTCCCAGCCGCCAGTGGCGAAGTAGTGGCCGTGAGGACCCCAGAGAACGCGGAAGACGGGGCCATCGTGGGCCTTGTAAATGCATAAGCATGCCCAGTGGTCGAGAGACCAAAGACGGATTTGACCGTCGGCCGAGCATGATAGTAGCAGCTTCGTGCTTGTGTCGGGCTTGGCTCCGTCGGCTTCTGGGAAGACATTACGGTCCAAGTTGGCAATCGAATCCGAGAATGACACGCCGTATACCGGAGCGGAGTGCCCGATCAGCTTCCGGTTGTTGACTTGTAGATCCTTCTCGCTTGCGACAGAAGATTTCAACGGCTGCCCATTCATAGACCAAACGCGAATGTACGAGTCCATAGTACCGACAGCCACGAGCTCGTGATCGTTGGAGAAGTCCATACATGAAACGCTAGGGGAAGGAATCAGTTAGCACCAAGAAGTCGCATCGGCAAACGCGTGCAATAACTTACCTCCCCAAGCTGTTGTGGAAAGTAAACATGCAGGCCGAAACAGGAATGCCCGCACCACCCGTCCGACCCTCAATCTTGAACCGGTCTCGGTTTTCCCGAACCTTTTGCATTTCTATTACGACGTCCCTGGCCCGAGATGGTGGAAGAGGGAGGTCTGTTCTTGACGGAGCGTCGGCACTTTCCTCTCGCTTAATCCGCTGATCGAACTCCTCCACAAGTGTAGACCTGCCCTCCGCCGGCGGATGTCGCTGGTCCTCGTCCTCAAGTTCTGCCCGTACGTCTTCTCTCAACTCTGGTTCCATAGGAAGAGGGCCAAGCTTTAGGGGTGCCGATGAATCGAGAACGTCCCTATTTGTAACACCGGTGAAAACACCAGGAATGCCCTCGAGTTGATCGATCTCATCAAGGTCCTGATTCTGCGTTCGTCGGTAGATAGCCTCGAAGCTGAATGGTTCGATTGGCCCCCTTGCGCTGACGTCTACACGGCAGTAGGTTTGAAGGATGAAGGTAATAGTTGAGCCGCCAGCATCCGCCTCGCGCTCGAGAAAGTGGAAGAGGTTGGCTGAAAGCGACTGGTTGAGCGGGACGTGATACTTGTTCTCCTTGTAGAGTTTGATGGTTTGGTTTTCGCGAATGTGTTGAGGAAGGGTGACTGTCGCGAACAAGTCTAACGCCTCGCGATGGACCGCTTCAAAGTGAGGTCGTAGTGTCGCAAGATAGTGTTTTGCTTCTTCCACATACCCCGTGAACACGAGGTCGATGTAGGAGTAAACAAAGACAGGCCACAGCAGCTTCCTGAGCTCGAACTATTGCTTGTCAGCATCGCTGCCACGAATCATCGTAACGTCGCCTTCGGTGCATCTTACTTTGTAGATGTCCAAGTTATTCTCGATCCAATCTCGGAGCAAGATGAATGCTTTTAGGTACTTTCGCGGTCCGTTCTCCTCGTTGCGCTGCGCTGGCCTGCCGTCAGGCCCGAGATGGGCTGTCTCTTGACGGAAAACGGCTTCGGTCTTGGTGAACCCCTTTTTCTTTAAGTAGTCCGTAACCTGCGCGTCGTTAGCTGGGGGTCTAACACCATAGAGCTCCAGCAAAGCTTGATTCGTCAAATGTGATATTCGGAGGGGCGAATGCTGAGGAGGCAGGTGGTAGGCATATCGAGGAGGCATGGTGATAAGCGAGAGGGTTTTTATGGATAAACGTGGTGTTTTCGCAATACTGAGCTGTCGGGGATATTGAGGGCAGAGGATAGTGAAGGTGATGTGCTGTTGAATGTGAAAAGGCGACGACAGAAATGGACTCAATTGTGCAGTACCGATGTAAGAGGAGAGGCGGAAGCCATGGCAGCCTAGATGCTTGATGGGAGTGCCGGTAAAGGGAATCTGAAGGGAACCTTGAAGCCCGGGTGAATGGACGCCAAAGCACGACCGGCCAACATGTGCTTATTATAGTAGAAAGCAATAATGGTTGGCCGATTTTCAAAGCTGGTATATGACAAGATTCTATATAAAGAGAAGGGATAGAAGGTGAGGGTGGTGGAGTTCCCATGGGGGAGGTACGGGTTGAAGAAGGCCATGGTGTATTGACATTTGGCACATGGGAAGGCAGGTGGAATCAAACACTCAACAAGGACTCACTATCTGGTTAAGATTCTGAGGTGTCGGTGCCGTATTGCTCGTCGACGTCGTTCCTGCGGCTCCTGTCCCTCCTGTAGCCCCCGTGGTTGGCGCACCACCAGCAGACTGAGGTTGTTGTTGATGTTGTTGGCCACCGCCATATGTGGCACCTGCCGGCGCCTGGCCGGTGTTTGTTGGTGGGGGGTTGGACATGATGTGTATATGCCCCTTTACCGAGCAGCTATCTATGTCTTTGTTCCGTCTTCAATTAACGATCGAGTTTGAATGACTCCGGTAGCGTTTATGGCTCTTGCTGTATGTAGCCTTCCTGGAACAAAGTGGTGGAGGATGAGGAGGAGGACGTCGACGCGTGTGAATGGTAATGATGGTAGGTTCTCGATCCAGTTCCTGTGAGCCTGGTGATATATCGTTCGTTTGAAATGGGTATATAGTGACTTGGGCAAGAATCCAGGCTGTCAGCCCTAACGATAGCGTGTGTTTTATGAAAAATGACAAAGTTGATAATGAGGCTCAAGACGAGATGGAGATGACGAGGTCCAGGTTCAGTGGTCAAGGGACGGCATTTGCCGAGGACGTCGCGAACAGTCGAAATGGGGCCACTTAGCGCGTCTGTCTAGCGCCTGATCCGTGCTTTCCTGCAGGCACGCTGGGTCTTGGCATTTGCGGTTCCCGCAATTTACCCCACCTTTTCCCAGCGATTGACACAATGAGCAGGGCTGTTTCGTGGGGGAGCTTCTCTTGAACCTTTTTGTCCCCAAACAAAACAAAACACCACAACCGTATCCAAGAAGTTGACAGCTGGGATTTCGAACAGCAAACAAACCAATTTGGCTTATCACGATATATCTATATATATACCGATAATATCATACGTACAACCATCAGTGCTCCGACTCAACAATAACGTCATCACGTCAACATGGACCACAACGCCCAACCCCAAGGGCAGCCATCCCAGATGGACATCGACATCCACGAACCCTTCACAACAGCTGAGCGCATTCAACAGCTCAGCAACGTCGACAACGTACGTTTCCTCCGCCCCCCACTCCTCTTCCCATCTCCTTCCTCACACTAACCACCTCTCAATCCAAACAGGACATTGTCTCCCTCCTCGAACTAGCCTCCAACGCCCTTCGCTGCCTCGCCTCCCCACCACCCTCCACCTCCGACGCCCAAAACCCCAGCCAAACCGAATCCGAGCTGCAAAAACAACAAGCCCAAGACCAAGAAGACGCAATAGCGCGCTTCACCCAAATCCAATCTACCTTCCTCTCCACCCTCGACCGCGTCGACAAGCAACTGCGCCGCCAAATCTACGCCATGGAAGAAGCAGGCATCATCAACCTCCGCAGCTCCTCTTCCAACCCCAACGCCAACAGCCCCGACGACGAAAACAACACCGGCGGCGAACCAAGCGCCTCAAACAAACCAGGTGGTTACGCGGCCGCTGCTGCACCCAAGAACCCCGGCGAACTCACACGACCAGCCAAGATCGAGACGCACAACGGAGCGAAGTGGGTGCGGCCCGTGGCGGCACGACTGGACCCCGATGGCGTGGGGAGATATGGGAATTTGGATGTGGGGAGGATGAATATGGCGATTGATACGGTGGAGAGGGATATGGAACGGGAGCTGTGGGCGAGAGCGAGAGAGCATGCGGAGAGGCTGACGAGGGAGAAGGGAATATCTGCTTCTGGGTCCCTTGGTGGTGTGATTAAGAAGGAGGAGGGAGGAGCAGGAGCGGATCATATGGATGAGGATTAGAGATCCCTTCCACTTTTTGGTGCTGATGGTGTTGGTGGTTCTGAGGGCGAGGCTGTGAAGAAAGATGGTGGAGACGATCAGATGGACGAGGATTGGAAGTCCCTTCCCCTTTTTGATGCTGCTGCTGCTGCCGCCGCCGCCGCCGCAGATGGTGGTGGTGATGGCTGCGGCGGTCGTCCGGTGGCTAATGAGGACTAGAGGTCCGGTTACTTTGGTGCTGATGGTACGGTTGTTGATAATAGAGGAGCCCATCAGATGGATGAGCTGTCTGAAGACGAGGAGTTCTTCACGCCGCCCGAGTATCACTGATTTACTCGGATTTTGCGAGAAATTACAGGAGCAGGCTGCAGGATTCATATGGCAGGCGGCATGCTTAGTTAGTGTTTCGGTGCATGTCTATCTGGAGTTTGGGACTTTGGCATACGGTCAGACTTGGCATTGGTGCTTAGGCGTCAGGACGTTGCTCGAGTGAGCTTTACATTGGGTTGCTGCTGGTAGGGTTACAAGAGGACATCATCACATGCAGTTTACACATCAACGGAATTCAAAATATCAATGACATAGTATGGGAAATTTTCAATATGATTACAACAGAAGCTATGAGCAGGAAATCTCCATCCTTCAGCCGGTCAAACTACCTATCATACGAACGAGCCACCGAACCAAACCAAATATGTACGAGAAACTATTACCTCAAGATAATTGGCACTGTTACTCGTTCACTAAGAGTAAACCACTTCATGAGATTTCACCTTTCCAGGTTCGGCACACCACCAAGCTTATAAGGACCTCTGTGCTCTCCCGCTGCCCAAAAGTATCCGAAATACTTCAATGGCCGAATGGACTTCTAGGCCGAGCCCTGGCACCGTCTATCGTAGCCACCCGCGCCGATAGTGGCGTTGGTGCCCGGAACAAAGATGGACTGGTCGATGCTGTCGTCGATCTTTTGTCAATACGGTCCATCAGAAAGAAAAAAGGGCGCACCGCAAATAGGTAACTTACATATCATCAAACAAAACGCAGTTGATATGCTCGTTTGAGCCGTTGACGTCCGCTGTTTCATCCATTCACGTTAGCTAGTTGTCCAATCCGATGGAGGATATAGTATCAAAAGTGAGGTAGGAATAGGAAAGACATCAATAACGTACTATACCACAAAAAGTAACTCTTGCACTTATCGCCCGCCGCGTTGCAAGTATACTGGCATTTGAACGCGCCGTACGGATCGGTGTGGTGGGAGTAGGGCATGTACTGTTTTTTTTTGGACTCGTCAGCTCACTTTTCTCTCGCCCACGAACCTTCTTAAAACCCATTTTTTTGCTTCGTCTCCCAGATTTTTACGTCCATCCCTTTTACCAAGAATAACATAAATGTGTTAAGTAAACTCACGTGCGGTCCACTCAAATAGTGCTCATCCCACCAGCTCTTCTTGACCGTGTACGAAGTCCAGTTGAGGTTCCCGGCGGGAGCAACGAGGGAGTAATCGGCGATGGGTAGGCTGCCGGGCGAGGAACCAGTGGCGGGTGGGCCGTTGACGCAGGTCTTGGCTTTTGTGCCTGTGTTGGAACTGGGGAGGGGAGTGGCGTCGGCGCCGGCGGTGAAGAGAGCGGCGGTAGCTGAGAGGAGGATGGTGAGGGTGTTGAGCATTGAGGAGGGGGCCATTTTGACGAAATTTTGCATGACGGGATGGTGGGATGGTGTTGGAAGGTGTTGGCCCGGCGAAGGTGGGGGCGTTGTGGTGGTTTGGTTGAGCTCAGAGGCTCAGAGTAGGCGAAGCTTGTGTTGAAGCTTTTGACGAAACGTTGTGTGGAAAACAATTGTCGATACAGTAACGGTTGTTATTAGGTTGATGGTCGATTTAGATATTAGAATTAGGTTGGTTTGTTGTGTAGGTAGGTGAGCCAAAGATTCTGTCGGTTGGTTGAAAAACCTACTTGGGTTTTGGCTTTTGCAAGTGGGCAAAAAGGATGAAAGAAAGGACAGCTGGAGAGGAAACGCTCCTTCCTACGTAGGAAACGATCAGTTTTATCTTCCCTTCCGAGTCACTCTGGACTATCCACGTCATCGAGGACACCTAAGGCCGTCCGTCACGAAAGTTCAGCCCTAATCTCGGAAATGGAAATGGAAAGAACAGTCGAAGTCTTCCATCCCACTATTAAGGTCCCTTCTTCAGCCCGTCCTCCGGGAGAAATTCCGTTCGAAGGGGCTCAAGGGAAAGAGGTTGCCTCTTTCTTTCCCTACTTCTCAAACATGGCAATCTATTCCAAAACAAATTTCCTTTCCTTATCTTCCCTCCTCTTCGTTCCATCCAACTGTTGACTCGCAATTCTGATATCTCCCACCCATTAAACCCACTAGAACAGTAAACATACATACCCGCCCAGACACGCAAGACACGCAAGCGAACCTTTCAAGCCCGCGCTTTTGAAAATATCAGACACTCCCAAAAGACGAAAGACGAAAGACCCGAGCACATACGTTGAAGTTGTGTCCTCGACGCGAACCCGTGTTACATCAAAAATGCAACCTCCCGCTTGTCAAGACGCAGGAACCAGATGGGGTAGTGTGAGACACTGAGACACTGAGACACTTTGGACAGCGTGTTGACGACGCAGCCTTTTTCACTTGCCCTCATTTGTGAGCCCTGAGCTATGGTACCTGCGGTATTCGTTTGTGGCTTCGATGTGTGTTAAGATTTAACAGGGAAGAGGAGCTAACGGAAAGGAAATGGGATAGGCGGAACTTGGATTTAATTGATGGCAGGTAGAAGGTGCTATATAAAATGCATATTAGCCGCCAGCAGACTCCAATAGAACGAGCACCTTGAAGTGAAACGTTGCAGAGCGTACGTAGATGAAAGATCTGCAAACAAGTTGAGGGGAAGATATTCGGTAGTGGTTTCGACATCAAAATTTCGAACAGCAGACATAATCCATCTGGAGTTGCTGATGAATCTTTCTAGGTACATCTGAGACCTATCATCCCACCTACGATGGTTGTACCTACCTACCTTCACCAAGTAGGAGCAGGCGACATCCGGAGGCCCAGACCGATAAAGACGGTGGAACATGAAGACGGGGAGCACCCCATCCGGTGTTCGTGCAACTTTTACCTCAATAGCAGTTTGACGTCTGTTGAGCGACTCGAGATAAGAGACGAAGGAAGATAGCTGTTCGAGTCGAATGGCTGAGTGTGCTGTTAGTTGCCACTTCCCTGAATTAACGACAACATCTCCTCGAGAGCAGGCCTAACTTCCCGTGTACACGGTAGAGAATCGAAAAGGATTTTCTTAGGTCAAGTTAAAGATGCCCATAGGCTGGGTAGGGTATACACATGTCATGTAGGAAAGGAATCCAGCCCCACCCAGTCTCCCATGCCAGTAACTCCTCCTCCTTCACTACGTCACTTCACTGATCCTCTGTCCGTACCCCCCACCTTACACAATCTTAAAAGCCTTCCTCCCCTCTACCAGCCCCTCCGAGAATTTCGTAACAGCCGCCCAGCTCGGGACAAACTGCAACGCCTCATCCAACGCCGGAATAGTTCCCGGCGTATTCGCATCACTCCACATACAAATCACTGTCCCATCATTCTCGTCGTCTCCCTTCCTGGTTTCTGAGCCCTTCCACTCTGCATTCACAACCCACGTCTTATCGAACTCCCTGTGCCAGAGCCTAACTAGCCCCACTCCGTCCTCAGGGTACTGCCCGAAGCGATCATCCCAGCCAGAGCCGCTCTCAATAGTCAACGCCGACACAGGCTTCTTGAACTGTAGGAAGCACGACTTAGTGTTATCAGCCGTGATCTCGATCCGGGCAGTTGTCCTTGAGGAGTCGCCCTTCTTGTGGCTGCGCGTGGCGTTGACGGTGATGATGTCGGCGTAGTTGTCCTGGGGGAGGCCGTCAAGATCTTCGCTTCCGAGCTTGGGTGGGACCGCGGATCCGTCGAAGCAGCACGTTGCTATCGTGGAACCACGACGGAGGGACTTGCCGCAGGTGACGTCCCGTCCGGATGCTGAAGGAAGCTCGGCAATAATGGGACGGACGTACTCCTCAATACCGGTGTAGCAGACCTTGTTCTCGCCAGTGGCAACGTCAATATACTGGCCGAAGAAGGCCTTATAACGGTTGTTGGCCGAGAAAGGGAAAGCGATGAGGTTGTAGGTAAGGGTGACGATGAAGACGACAAGTAGGAACACAGGAATATGATGGGTGACGCGGTGGATGAAGGGAGTAAGGGGAAGGATAAGTAACAAAGTGAAGAAGAAGATCATCAGGTAGGGCGTGAAGAGCTTGCTGCCGTCTGATCCGGTCTGGTATACAGCGTCTGTGAGCATTAGACCCGTCTGGGCTGCGAGGATGATCATAAAGGGGCCCAGCAGCAAGAATTGGAAGAACCATGCCCAAGAAGGCAGGTGTCCAGACCAGTCTTGCTCGTGCTCGTATGGCTCCCCGTCCTCCTCCATCTTCCGAGCTCCGTGTACCAGCGCGGTGATGGAGCGGCGATAAGTAGTCGCAAACGTAGTACGGCCACGATCATTGGTGCCATTACCGCCAACGAGTGGTGTCCGCTCAGTCGCTTCGTCGTCATCATCTTCCGATTCGTCCTCGTCCCGGGGTGTCGTAGAAGGAATAGGAGCGCTTGTAGAACGGCCAGGTGTGGGCGTCGCGGGAGCAGGCTGTGGCTGCGAAGAATGCGCGGCAACAGAAGGCGCAGTCGACAACCCATTAGTAGTGCCGGCCGGCGCGGTAGGCTTGCTCGGTTCCTGCGCAACGGTGGGCGATGAAGGAGAACCAGCAGAGGCGGATGATTCAGCCCTGGCCCCTGAAGATAGTCCATCGGTACTGTCCCGGTATCCCTGGTATCCGCTGTGGTCATGGCCGTCATAGTCCTCCTGAACTTGCAAGGCGTACGCAGACTTTCTCGGAAGAGCCAAGAGCTCAACAAAAGAGATTAGGCACGACAAAAAGATAGCCGACTCGAGGAAAACAAAGATGTAGCCGGCCGCAATCCTACGGCGGTCCTCCAAAGCGGTAACGGCAACAAGAACAATCCAACCGAAAACGAAGAGCCACAGGTTGGCGTAGCCGCGGTGAAGAGCGCTAGGGCGGACGAAATTAGCGCCACGCATGATCATCCAGAAGGAGAAGTAAAAGATAGACACCATCATAGCCCATCTAAAACAATTGTTAGCCATAATAACATCCGAGTTGGGGAACAAGGACTTACACAGAATAACGGCTGCTGT